TTTAGGGGGTAGGGACAGGAGGATCAGAAGTTCAGCTATTTAAGGAATATAGACCATCATGGGCTATGTGAGAACTTGCCTCAAAACCATAGGGGCCTGGGAGATGGCTCAGTGGTTAGGAGCAATGGCTGCTCTCCCAGAGGACTGGGTTTGATTCCCAGCATCCACATGGTGGTTCACAGCTGCAACTTCAGTTCCAGGGACATATGATGCCCTTGTCTGGTTTCCTCAGGCACCAGACATGCACATGGCACACAGACATACATGCAGGTAGCACATCCTTAAAATAAAATTAAGTAACGAATAAATAAACAATCAAAACAAAAAAAAAAAAACATAAAACTCAACCTAACAAGAAAGGAATGGACATGACACTTGTTTAAATGGTTTCTCACAAAAGCAAGAACGAAAAGAAACACCTTGGGGCCAGTGAGAAGACTCAGTGGGCAAAGAGGGGTAAGGGGACCCGCTGCCCTGCCTGGTGACCCAAGACCCATACTATAGAGAGAACTGACCCTGCACATCGCCCTCTAACATCCACTCTCATGCTGAGGCACACGTGCAACCGCACGAATGCACACAGTTTTAAGAACACGTCTCCCTTTGTCCATGAAACCCAGCTGCCGTAAGAAGCAGAGATAAACGGGTGTCCCACATTGCCGCTTAAGTATCCATGCCAACGCTTCCAAACTGGCACCCTCTGTGACCACTGGGCTCTCTCAGGTTCCATAGCTGTGGCCGTATGTTATTTTCAGAGAACTGTGCGTGGTGGGTGCCAGGACCCTAGGTGCACAGTGGTGACTTGCTGCTGTTGGCACACTAGGAGCTGCTGTGGTATCTCCTCTCCCGACACGGCAAACTGGCCACATCTTGCCCCGCTGGATTTGCCCATGGGGCCTTCCATAAGTTCTTCATGTGGGGGCCCAACTGTGCACAGAGGAAGGCAGCCTCACAGAGATGATCCCTGAGCCGAAAGCTGGCCGTGCAAAGATCTGGTGAAAGAGTGTTCTGTGTATGTCCTGAGGCATGGTCCCGAGCTGGGAGTGTTACAGAAAAGTTGAGAAACAGTGTGGTTGGAAGACCATCAATGAGGGAAGGAGCCGTGGGCCTGAGGGCTGACATTGGGGGCCTCAGCTGGCATCCTAAAAGCAGTTGTGAGTAATTGAGTTTTTAGATAGGCCCAGGTGTGTGTGTGTGTGTGTGTGTGTGTGTGTGTGTGTGTGTGTGTGTGTACAATATTATTCATGCTGTAGACTAAGAAGGAATTTGTGGGGAGTGGGTCTAGAATAGATGGTAAGAGTCCAAAGGACTTTACATAGGTTATTAGATTTCTCGGACCCTCCATTTTACCTGTAAAATGGAGAGAAGACAGCCCATGGCTGAGGCTACTGGAATTTGTGATATAAAATGTCTGAGCACAAAAATAGAGCCTCATTCTTCCTAGGAGTCCTCTTCTGGTGTGGTTACTGCCAGTGAGCTGGTGATTCGTTTTGTTTTGTTTTGACTTTTTGAAACAATGCTTTCTACTGACCAGGATGACCTTAAACCCCTGATTCACCTCCCACAGCTGGGATTATAGGCCTACCCCACCTTGCTGGCCTGTTTTATTCTTTTTGTGTAACAAATTTTGATTGTCTCCGTTATTAAAATTTGGTGACCTAAGCAAGGGTCATTTTTGTTGCTTACTTTTCATAGTTGAAGCTGTGTGTTCCAACTCCAGCACTGCAATTAATTAGCTGGGAAATTGTAACAGTTTACTGCTTGAAGTAGCCAAGACACTGTGCTATTTATAAAGAACTACCATACAGCAGGGACTAGTGCTGGGGCATATTTAGAAGTCACTTAGCTTTTGGAGATGTGGCCAGGCAGCAGGCAGGCAGGTGCAGGAAACCATATGTCAGGAATGAGGCAGCTGCTATCGATTCAGGACAGCTGTGGGTGCCCTGTGGGACAGATGCTTCCTGGCTTGGATGATCCTAAAGAACTGCTGTTCTCTGGAAACAGCCCCCCCACGGCCACACACACACACACACACACACACACACACACACACACTCCCTGAATGTCCAGACCCAGAAGAAGCCACTGCTGTCTGGACAGTGTAGCTCAGCTGCTTTCAACAACTGCTCTGTGACACCCATGGTGAACCAGACAGAACCTGTATGATTCAGGGACAGGCCTCCCTTCAAAAATGCTTTGAATGGGCTTCACAAGAACTGTGAAGAGTGAAGGCTGGCTTTGCTTTCTGTTTTCCCAAAAATAGAATAGATGGTTAAGTTGTGGGTTTTCTCCTCTCTCTCTCTCTCTCTCTCTCTCTCTCTCTCTCTCTCTCTCTCTCTCTCTCTCTCTCTCTCTGCAGGGTTTTACCTCATAGCCCATGTCCGGAACTTAGAACTTAGCCCAAACCAAGAGTAACCCTTCCTCAGCCTCCTGAGTAATGGGATTACTAAGCTTCAATGAGGTAAAATTGTGAATCTCCTGCAGATGTAAAATAACTTGCCAGGTGCAGTGGCTCACACACACACACACACACACACACACACACACACACACACACACACACAAAATCCCTGCACTCAGGAGCTGGAGACGGGAGGATCAGGAGGTCAGCCTGGATTATAGAGAAGCAATGCTTAAAAGACAAACAGAAACTCTAGAAAGTATCCTGTCACCTCATTAAGTCTGAGCCTTTAGTCAACACTCCACGAGGGTCCATAACCCTATTATTCCCCTTAGCACATCAACCCAGATGGCTTCTGCAGGCTTCCAAGTGAAACCGTGATGTCACATTCCAGGATCATGCATGTGCCAGCATCCTCTCTTCAAGTGTGGTAACCCAGGAAACCCCCTCATCTCCTGTTCTAGACAAAACTAGGTGTCCATGCTCCAGCTTTTTACCCCTAAAGACTTGACAGTTACCCCAACGTGTGGCTCCGCCCTGTTCATCAACCCAACAAAAGACTAATGTGGACCCTGGGACTCCACTGAGTGTGGGGAGGGTGCGCACCCACCCCTGTGACGCACAGGCAGAGACTTGCTTGTCCTCTGTGAGGTCATATGAACATGAACATGGGAAGATCTCAACAGGCTGGAAGAACAAGTTTGGTTTGCAGCATGGTTTCTCAGGAAGTGGCTGGCATTCTAGGAGAGTCTAGAAGCCTGTGTGGGATTTCAACTGGTAAAAATTTGCTGGAATGTCTGTGGGTAGAGGGAGGGGTAAATGGACAGGACTGTAGTCCCCAGGAAGGGTGATCACTGGAGGCTGGTGAGGAAGTGTGGGAGACGGGAAATCTCAAAGAGCCTGGAAGCTTCTGGACCCCAAGGACTCCGGGGCTCTAAGAGGGAGTGACACGGTAGAAAGTGGTCTGTGCCATATGATGGTGGTAGTCAGTCAGTGTGTGCCGAACTTGTGAAGGAAGATGCGCTAACAGATGAGAAGGCACCCGGAGTCCTGGAGCGCCAAGTCTGTTCTCTGGATCTCACTGTGATAGTGGAAAGTCCCTATGCCTGTGGTTCACCACTGCGGGACAGGGAAATCTCTGCAGGCCACTATGACTCCACAGTATCCATACCTGTCTGGAAGAATAAATTTGAGGTAGGGTGAGTAGGAAGGTGACTCACTCCCCAAGACGGACGGCAGCTGCTCACTCCCAGGGCAGTCTGGAGAGTCCTGTACTTCACTTCCAAGAACAGGTTAAGAGGCACTTCAAGGCTGCAGAGTCGGCTCAGCAACTAAGAGCGCTTGCTGTCTTCAGGGTCTGAGTTTGGTTCTTAGCACCCAGCTATCCCATGTCTCTTTGGGCACCTCAGGCACTACACACACACACACACACACACACACACACACACAGAGGCACATGCACATATGCCACACACGCAAGTGTGCGCGCGCGCACACACACAAACACATGCATATGCACATGCACAGAAGTGCACACACATACACAAGCACACCCGAACACAGGAACACACACGAACGCACACATGTGCACACACATGCAAATACATGTACACATACAGATACACACAGCACAAACACACACACACATGAACTCATGAGCACACACATACACACACACATTTGCTCACATACATACACCACACACAGAGACACTATCACATGCATGAATACACACACACACACACATACAAGCATGTCAAGTGTTCTTGGAAAAGCGTGTTAAACATGTGTATTGCAGACATATCGAGAACAGAGTCCTAGACAGCCTCTTCCAGGTGGGGACTGTTCCCTTGTCCCCACAGCACTGTCCCCTGTCCTCCCTGCCCTCCCCTGACCCTGGCAGGTACTGCTGGGAAAGGCCCTCTACCACTGAGATACACCCCACGCTCTTTATTCTTGTTTGAGACAGAGTTCACTAAGTTGTCCTGCAGGTCTTGAACTCTCAATCCTCCTGCCTCAGCCTCCCAAGTGCTGGAACTGCAGGTGTGAGGCACCAAGCCCAGCTAACCAACATCCCTTGAGCCTCTCCTATCTATCTGGGCCTGAGGCCGATGCTGGGGACAGAGTACTAGATAAACAAATTGTATTTATCTCAAATATAAGTGTATGTATACATATGTATGTGTGAACACTTAACTCTAGTAATAATCCCATTAGTAGGCATCACTGTTCTCATTTCATCCATAAGGAAACTGAGGATCAGAGAGGGTAGCTAATATGATCAAGGGCACACAGCTAAGGATTTAAAGCCCAATGGTATACATGGGCTTTAGCCCAACTGGATGTCATGATGCAGCGTGCACTTAACTAAAGGGGCCGTGGCCTCCACAATTTTAAGGAAGGGCTTATTGGGGCTACTCACCTTGGGTTTGGGGGTGCAGGCAAAACATCCCAGAGGATGTGGTATCACCAGAACCCCCGAGGATGGGAAGGATAAATCAGGAAAGAGCAGGGACACACACGGCCTCTAGGGAGGCTGAGAAAGCAGCCTGGAGGTTTGTTTATACTGTGGTTCCTTGGTGACCGGGTACATGGATGCCACCGACAATGATGGTAACAGTACATTCTCTCCCCCAGCCCCTGTTGGCCAGGGCACTTTATGACAACTGTCCTGATTGTTCCGATGAGCTGGCCTTCTCCAGAGGGGACATCCTAACCGTTGTGGAGCAAAATGTGCCTGAAAGTGAGGGCTGGTGGAAGTGTCTGTTACATGGAAGGCAAGGCCTGGCTCCCGCCAACCGTCTCCAAGTGCTCAAAGACACCCCTGCAGACAGACCCTGTCCCCAGCTCCTGAGAGGCCTGGACACAGACCTCAGCGGCTCAGAGGCTCTTTATCAAGTGCCCAGCTTGTTCTGCCCACCGCCCCCCGGCCCTGTGTACGAACCGATGAAGAGCTGGGTGGAGGGGCTGCCGCCAGCTACTGCCCAAGTCTACAAATTGCCTGACTCACCTTCCAGTGCCAGGATTATCTGTGAAAAGACTCTGAGCTTCCCCAAGCAGGTGAGTGTGTCTCCAAGGAAAGCATGTTAAAGGCCCGGGATACCCAGGGGCTTCAGTACACCCAACTCATTGTCGTTTATCAGATCAAATGTGCAAAACAGGACCCCAGAGCCCTGTTGAGTGTGACTAAGGCCTCATCCCATTTCATTCACACTCAGCATCCCTGTGGCTGCCCAGCTCACCAAGACTTGCCACCCTGTTCTGTCAGTTAAGGGCCCATTGAGGTGTGTTCGGGAGCCTGTGGACTACCCCACATCACAGAGACCACTAGAGACAAGAGAGACAAGTGGTGGGCTAATTTCACACTGTATCAAAGGCAAATCATTACTCATTGCGTTCAAGGCACACATCAGCATCCACAATTGACTTGTAGAATTGTTGCAGAAACATACAAGAAGGCAGACAGAGATGGGGGTGGGTGGTCACACAGGTGCTGGGAAAATCCCACAGGTCCCCAAGGGTGTGCATGGGAGAAGGTTGGTTACATTTTTGAAAGTTTTTTCCCCCACACATTCGCTTATTTATTTGGGAGCAGAGCATGCCTGGGCCACTGCACATGTGTGCAAACCAGAGGACACTTCCAGGAGTTGGTTCTCTCCTTCCCTCCATGTGCAGGTCCCAGGGGTCAAACTCAGCTCCACAGGCTTGGTGGCAAGTGCATTTTGTCCCTGTCATAGTGGCAAGCAACAACATAGGGATAAGAAATGAAGTGTTTCTGTGCAGTTGTTCTGAAAAGGAAGACAGAAGCTTTAACCGAAGACTAGGCAAAAAACAAAAACTGCCAAAAACGTCTGTGTGTGTGGTGTGTGTGATGTGTGTGTGTGATGTGTGTGTATGTGTGTGTGTGATTTGTGATATGTGTGTATGTGGGTGTGTGATGTGTGAGTATGCGCGTGTGTGTATGTGGGTGCACATGTGTGGTGTGGTGTGGGTGTATGTGTGTGTGTGTGCAGGTGCACATGTGTGTGTCCCTGTATGAAGGTGTGTATGTGTGTGTATGCATGTACATGTGTGTGTGCATGTGTGGGTGGGTGGGTGTGGGGGAGTGCGCATGTGTGTGTTATGTGGTGTGGTGTGGTGTGTGTGAGATGTATGTGTGTGTGTGATGTGTATGTACGTGGGTGCACATGTGTGTTCCTGTATGAAGGTGTATATGTGTGTATGCATGTACGTGAATGTGGGGGGGTGGATGTGAGTGTGGGTGCACATATGGGGGGAGGGGTGCACATGTGTGTGTATGTGTGGTGTGGTGTGTGTATGTGGGTGTACATGTATGATGTGGTGTGTGTGTGTGTGTGCAGGTGCACATGTGTGTTCCTGTATGAAGGTGTGTAGGTGTATGTATGAATGTACGTGTGTGTATGGGTGTGTGTGATGGGTGTGTATGTGTGGTGTGTGTGTGTGCATGTGCACATGTGTGTTCCTGTATAAAAGTGTGTATATGTGTGCATGTGTGTGTGTGTGTGTGTGCAGGTGCACATATGGGCTGGAAAGACCTAGAAGAACACACAGATAGTTGTCCTCAGGAAGTAGATGTGAGGAAGGAGAAATTTAGCAAGGTAATGAGCAGGGACCTTTAATTTATTGTCCCGTGTCCCCAGCGCCTTGCACAAGGCAGGTCCTCAAACAGTCTCATGAACAGTCAGATCAGGAACTGGTGGCTGTCCTGTGGGACACGTATGGCACCTGTGAACTCTACAAGCAGGGGGAAGGAGCTCTGTAACTGTGGTCACGTTGATGCCTTAAGTAAGGAGAGGAATTAGAGGGAAAGGGGAGAACGATGGACAAAGGCGTGGCGTTCCCACCACGACCCTGGCCTCCCTGGGGCTTTAAAAATACCACGCACGTCTGGAGCTGAAGCTGGGTTTCTGTGGCAGTGATTACCTAGCGTTCCTGAAGCCCTGGGGTCTGTCCAATCACCGCACAAACCAGGCCTGCAGGAGCAGCCCTGTGATACAAACACTCAGGAGATGGAGGCAGGTGGAGCAGGAATTCAGGGCCAGCCTCAGCTGTAGTGTGAGTTTGAGGCCAGCTTTTGTTACACAAATCTGCCTCACAAACACCAGACAAACAGACAAAACCTCACTGGCCTCAGTATTCAATGACCATAGGCATCTTTTTTACATCCGACACATCTCCCCTGTCCATGTGGCCGACAGGGCCAGGCTGCACTGTCCACCCGGAAACCCACACAATCTGAGGGAAAGCTGGGTTCACCATTGCAACTTAACTTAGAGGACGAGCGCTGTGTGTACAGTATGGGCAGTCCCTGAGGCCTGTCAGCAGTGTGCATCCTCCCGGGAAGACCCCCCTATACCCCCCCATGACCAAGAGAAACCACAGCAACTGAAGGGGAATTCGGGTCCTCTGCTCCTGAGCAGTTCTCCGAGGGACCACGGAAAACACCTGGGGATGCCCCTGCCTTTTCTCCTTCAAGTTCCCTCTTTGTCTGTGATAAGTACAGTCTGACTTCCTTCTCCTCTCCCTTTCCTCCTCCTCCTCTCCCTCCTGCTCTCCCTTCTCCTTCCCCTTCCCATTTTTCCCTCCTCCTTCCTCTCCTCCCCTCTCTTCTCTCCCTCCTCTTCCTCTCCTCTTCTTAAGGAGCTGGTGTCCTGACTTCAGAGGCAGCTCCTGTCAATCCAGGGCATTAGGAGCCCTCCAGCGCCCTCTGTCCCTTTCTCTGTGTTAGGGAAGCACTGGACTGATAACATCTAAGGCCAGCCCTTAGCTGTACCCTTAGAAGGTTCTAAATAATTCCCTCTACCCCAAAAAGGTCAAGAGCCAGACACTCCAAGGATAGCCAGCAATCAGTTGCAAATTCTCTATTCCACAGGAAGGCGGCATAATGTTCTTCGTGCTCGGGCATCTGCCATTCATCCCTGGGTCTGAGGCCGCCCAATCAGGAAGAGTCATAGAATTAGGCAAGTCCGAACCCAGCCCTTTGAGCTGTTTCCATCGTAGTTTGCAGGCGCCAGCCACAGCGGGAACAAGCTCTTTCATGGTTTCCTTTACACCGGTGCCAGTCTCCCGGGATTCAGAGTGTCCCGGCACAAATAGCGGAGATGGCTGGACCATAGCCAGGTTATCATGAGTTTCATCTGTGTCAGAATCAGTGCGTCTATCTAGGAGAGGCCTCTGAGGGCCTTTGGATTAGAATAGCCCTCCATTCTACACAAGGGGGTACTGATTCCAGGAAGGTCAAACTGCCCACCCTGGCAAGCCCAATGTGAGCCCAGGGCAGGAACTGGAGTTTTCACGTCAGTCTGTGTCCATCTGTCCACCTTACCCCAAAAGCAGGGCCTTTATCTTCTGGGTCTCTGTGTGACCCTCTTTATGTGAGTGTGGCTGAAGCTACTCTCTCTTTTCTAAAGCATATATCTTCAAGTATCTAGAAAAGCTTCTCCTTTTTTATTACATGTTATTTAGGTTTGTGGAGGTCACTAGACAACTTACGGAAGTTGGGTCTCTCATTTTACCCAGGGAGCCCTAAGAATTGAATTCAGGTCATCAGACATGGCAGCAAGCACCTTTACCCACTGAGCTATCTTGCTGGCCCTAAAACTATTCTTTCTGTCGAGTTTTTTTTTTTTTTTTTTTTTTTTTTGTCATCTTGTCACCTTCAGAGCATGGAGGCACACAGCTCAGCTGCTAGCATCCACAAGAACAAAACAAAACCAGCTCCCAGAAGCCCCCATGCCTTCCTCCTGTGAAACCACTCTCCCGGACTTTTGTTTTACTTTCGATTTCAACTTCCTTCATTTATTGTGGGAGGAAACCACATACGGAACATACTTCCATTCTGAGAAGGGCTACTTGGTATTTCAAGTGTAAAGGGACAGATTTCCTGCTGACAGCCGCTTGGGATTACTTTCTTCTGCCTCTGGAAGCCTTTGGGAACCACAGCTCTCAGGCTTGCTCCTTGATTGATGGTATCTGGACTGTAACAGTTTCCCAAGAAAGGGGACGTTTTTTTGTTTTTTTTTTTTTTTGAAGTGGCTCACACAGGAAAGTCCCTGGGTGAACTATAGGTGCTCCAGCAGCCACATGTGACCCACAAAGTTATCCGTTTGCCTAAAGTGGGACTGACGTCCCGAGGGGCTGGGCAAGGAAGAGCTTGGAAAGGTCTGGGGGAGGAGAACAGCTGGGTATAGCCTTAATTCAAAATGCAGTGGAACCATTAAGGAGCTGGATCTGAGCCCATCAGCCCTGTCAGCCTAGGACCACCAGGGACAGAACCAGGGTTTGACACTTCTTCTTCCTCTTTGCCTTTGTGGTCATTGTTCTGGTTTTTTTTTTTTTTTTTTTTTTTTTTTTTGGTTTCTCAAGACAGAGTTTCTCTCTGTAGTCCTGGCTGGCCTGGATCTATGTAGACCAGGTTGTCTTTGAACTCAGAGATCCCCCTGCCTCTGCCTTCTGAGTGCTGGGATTGAAGGCGTGTGCCACCACAGCCTAGCTTGATTTTACTAATAGGTACGTGTGTGTGTGTGTGTGTTGATGCGTGTACATACACATGTATGGATGGACATGTGTACATACACATATAGAGGTCAGAGGTCAAGTTCAAGTTGTCTGCTTTATTTTGTTTTTCTATTTTGTGGCAACATTTAAACAGAGCGTGGTGGACCACTCAATTAATCCAGCACTGGGGAGGCAGCTCTAGGTGGACCCTGTGAGCTGAGGCCACCCAGCCTGGTCTACATAGCAAATTCTAGGCCAGCAGGGGCTATTTAGTGAGGCCCTTCTCAAAACAAAGCAAACAAACAAAAACACAACTTACCTGCACTTATTTGGGGTGCGTGCTTTGCCACGGCACGTATGTGAAGGTCAGAGTTCAACCTCCTTGAGTCCGTTCTCTCCTTCCACTATGTGAGTCCTGGGGATTGAACTCAGAATCGTCAGGCTTGATGGTTAGTGCCTTTATCCAGTGAGTGAGTCATCTCCCCAGCCTGCCTCCTGTTTGTTTGTTTGTTTGTTGAGACAAGGTCTCTCACTTGCTTGGAACTTGCCCATTCTGCTAAGCTGGGCCAGTGGGCACGAGGGATCCTACCTCCCCAGTGCTTAGCTCACGAGTGGGTGCCACCATCCCAACTATTTTCACAAGGGTACTGGGGATTGAACTCAGGTCCTTGTGTTTGCAAGGCAAGTACTTTTCTGAAAGAGCCACCTCCCCAGCCAGAGCTGGGAGGCTGGCTGAGCCTGGGATGCTGAAGGCGTCTTACCAGCAGTTGCTGAAGTGCATTCTGAGGGAAAGGTGAGTCACCGTAAGCCTGAGCTGTGGTGACAGTGGGTAGCCTGAGGAGTCACCGTAGCCTGAGCTGTGGAGACAGTGGGGATATGAGGCTAGACCCTCTTGTTTCGGCTTGTGAGGAGGAGTCTGCTCCTCCATGTATGTGGCTCTGGTGTCCAGGTACCAGTGGCTGTTCCCTTTTTAGGACTGTACTTCAGGAAGTCCGGCTCCTCTCCTGAGAGCCCACGATTTTAACAGAACCATGTCCCTTGTGAGAAGAAAGCTGTTTTCAAATGGAGAAAGGGACTGGTCTGACCCTGGACAGCTGCAGTGACTTCACAGCTGCTTCACCCATGCTTGTGATCACAGCAGGAGAGTGTGCTCACCTGTATCAGGCTGCATGCCTTCCTTCACCAGGACAAACACAAGCCAGAGCTTAACTGGCGCCATCCAAAGGCTGGGTCCTAGCAACAGTGACGAACAAAGGCACCTGGCCTGGCTCTTAGGAGCTGCTCCTCAGCCCTGGGTTTCCCCCTAGTTTCCACATTAAAATCCTGAATCACCTCCCCCAAGTGATCCAACTAGGAAAACACCCTACACGGTGCCTGGTTCCTAGGGCCTAGCCAGGTGGTCCATCTCCCTTTGGGTTTTTAGTAACTTTATTTTTTCCTCTCTTGCCTTGCGTCAGTCCTCAGCCCGTAGCCTTGGTATGACAAGTCCTATTTCCTTTCCCTTTGTACTAAAAGTCCTGGTACCCAGTATCCTTTAACCCATTAAAACAAAACAGGGCGGGAAGTGTGGCTCAGTTAGTAGAGTGCCTGTCTAACATTCGCGAAGTGCTGAGTAAGCCCTACGGTTGATCCCCAGCATCCTATAAAACTGGGTGTAGTGTGGTATGTGCCTATAATCCTGGCCCTTGGGATGTGGAGACAGGAAGATCAGAGATTTAAGGTCATCCTTAGCTTCATAGGGTGTTCAAGGCCGGCCTGCAAGCATGACGCAAGCTTATCTCTACTGCCCCGGGACCCCTGTGCACTCACACCCACAGACATGCACTCCGAGAATCTGAGTTCTAACCCACTCCCCAGGGGAATCTGATGCAGGCACTGTGGTCCACCTTGTAAGGAAGACATGCCCATCCCATGGGACCCACCTATCAGCGACCCATGCCTCCCACCCAGCCTCCAGCAGGCCCTTTTGACATTGTGACATGACGTTGTCACTTATAAAGTTCATCCTTGGGAACTGTTCAGTCGACTTTTTAAAGCTTGCAAAGAAATCTTACGACGGTTTACATACATTTAGGATTGTGTTCTGGGCTGCACTCACGTCTACCCTCAGCCCGCGGGGGTCAGGATGGACCCGCCTGCTGGCGACAAACACTCCCTGGCTGCCTTCACTGCTTTGAACGTGACTTTGGCCATGATCTTGGGTATCTTGACTCCATTCTTTTTCTCTCCAAGACACTCTACGTGCTTCCCAGACCTACAAGGGCCTCGCTGCCGACTCTGCCTTCCCAGGTGTATGATGTCCCTGTCCAGAACAGGGTCTCTTCGACCCTTAAGGTGAGCTTCACCTGACAACCCTGCCCACCCCCGAGGCTTGGCACCCAGTCTGAGTTTCCCATGATATTTGCCTTTGTGGCTTCCTTCATTCAAAAGGCTGACTCCCGTAAGGTGAGCTGGCAGTGTTTATTTGGGTGACTGCTAGGACGTGTGCTTGCACCCCTCCACCCCACCCCCATAACTTCAGCTCAGAAGGTGACCTTTAAAGCATCAAGTCTAGTGTCGTCATGAAACTAATTACTGCATGCAGTTATTATATGGCAATTTAAAACTGTACGTTTGGGGTTGTGTTTCAAGCGTATGAGGACCTGAATTCAAATCCCCAGAACCCACACAAAGCCAGACACAGTACTGAGGCTCTCAGACCACCGTGGCTATGGTGGACTGGGAGGAGGGGACAAGAGAATCCCCAGCTTGGCGAACACAGCAGTGAACAAGCGACCCTGCCTCAAACAAGGCAGAAGGTGAGAAACGATGCCAGTGTGGGTCCCAGCTCACCCATGGGCCATGGCACATACACACCTGTGCTGAGAGAGAGAGAGAGAGAGAGAGAGAGAGAGAGAGGAGAGTCTGTCAGCAAGCAGCTTTGTAATTCATGGAAAACTGCCACAATCACCCATCACACACCTGTCTCAGAGAAGCAGAGCCCCTGGACTACATTTCCTGAGAATCTCTTTCTGTTAGTGAGGATGGCCCTAGCTGCTTATTGCCCTGGTATGAAAACTCTAAGGAGGATTCTAGCCTCTCACTGGGCAGTGTCATGGGTACTTACAATAAAGTGACTGACTTTTCCCAAGCATTGCTGCTGGAGCAGATTAATGACTCAACCACCATCCTTAGAAAGGATTTAGGGATGTGGATTGTTAGTAAAGTTAGGTTAGGATGCTTTGTTAATGGCTTTGTTGTAGGAAGTCTTGGAGAACAATTTGAAGTTTAGAAGGGCACACTCTTGAGAGCTGAGGAAGGGACTCATTGACGTCAGGGAACAAGAACAAAGGTGGCCTGTTATTACTGCCTGACATGCCTTTCTTGCAAAAGACAGTTGGTGACCAAAAGCGATGATTAATTTCTTGTACCCATTTTTGTCCTCAGCCTCCTGGTATGATTTAATTTAAAAAAAGTGATGATGATTGGATGTGCACTCTGAGGACTTAAAGTAGAAATATATATATATATATATATATATATATATATATATATATATGAGACAAACAGATAAATAATCGATCCTTTCTTTGTAACTGTAAATAGCTGTGTGCCGTTACAAAAGGAACTAGCTGAAATATACACATGGCTTTCTGACATTTTGTTAATCAATTTTAAAAGAATCATTGCTTTGGGGTAAAGAGGTTATTGTCAGAAAATTAATACAAAGGAAAATGTTTAACTACATGTGGGCTTTCTAAGAAAAACATGTGACTTGTGACTATAATGTGATTTCTTCCTTGTGAAGATTTTAACTTGTTTCTGGGAAATGTGTAGCTTGTGATTGTGAGGTAATCTTTTCTTGCATAGAAATATTTGTCTTCGTAGGTATAAAAGGGAGAACAGAAAATAGGAGAAGTAGAAGGGGATGTCGGGGAAGACGCAGAAGGAGAAGAAGGAGGAAAAGCAGTAGGGAACAGGACCAGGAGAGGACAGAGCAGGAGCAGGCAGAGCAAAGAACAGAGTGAAGAATTAAGCGTTGGCCCTCAGAAAAGTTTCCTCTGTATGTGTGCAGTTGTGCCAACTCCACACCTCCTCTTCAGTGCCCACCCTGCTGAGGGCAGGACCCTCAGTGAGAGAGAGAGAGAGAGGGAGGGAGAGAAAGAGAGGAGAGATTGCTTCAGAAAAAAAAAGAACTGTGACTACAAACCCCAAAGTTTTGGGTCTTTCACTGGACAAAACCCAAACCTGTGGACTTTGTGTGGGAAATCCTTTGGGAAGAGAAATCAAAGTGGCCTTCTCTGTGGTCTTTCCCTAGAAGCCAGAGAGACAGCACTTCTACGACATACCCACCAGCTCCCAGAAGGCAGCATGCCACTCCTCTGCCAGCCAGGCAAGTATGAGTATGAACAGAGCTGGGAAGGGGAGCTAGGTGACTAAGCATCCTCTGGGGAATCTTTATTAGCTAGACGCATTGCCGTCTTTCCGCTGCTGTGATGAAATGCCTGAGATAAGCATCTTACGGAGAGGGAAGGTTTGCTTTGGCTCACTGTTTCAGAGTTCACGATTGGTTGGCTGGTTGCCTTGGAGATTGTGGTGCGGTGCAGTGAGGGCACATGATGAAGGAAGATGATGCTCACTCTACGAAGGCTAGGGAACAGAGAGAGAGGAGGAGAGAGGGCCAAGTCTCAGTGTTCTCTTTAAGATGATGGCCCCCCATGGCTCAGCTTCCTTCTACCAGGCCTCACTTCCAAAAGGCTTCATCACCTACTACCAGCAGCACAGGCTAAGAACCACGCCCTCAGCATCAAGGAACATTCCTAACTCAAATTGTGACACTTGACCAAAAGGCAGGTGCCGGATCCTTGTAACCAGCTCCACTGCACTGGAGTTGAGATCCTTCCTCGCCCCACTATCCAGGACTAGGGTAGTGGGCTGGAGAGATGGCTCTGTTGCTAAGTGCTTGCCTTGCAGGCATGAGGAAGGACCTGAGTCTGGATACCCTCTGCTCACATCTTTTTTTTAAAAAGTAGAGCTGGAAAGTTAGCGAAGAGCACTGGATGTTCTTCCTGAGGTCCCAAGTTCCCAGCATCCACATGGCTGCTCACAACCATCTGTAACTCCAGTTCCAAGGGATCTGACGCTCTCCTTTAGTCTCCACAAGCAGAAGATATGCACATGGTACACATTCATGCAGGCACAATATCCACATACATAAAATATTTGAGCATAAGCCAGTGGTCCCAGAGCTAGAGAGGAGGAGACAGGAGGATGGCTAGAGCTGGTAGACCAGCAAGTCTAGTGAGTTTCAAGTTCAATGAGAGACCCTGTCTCAAAATACAGGGACAAGAGTGATAGAATAAGATGCCCAGTGTACAACTCTGGCCTATACACACACATGCACACACACACACACACACACACACACACACAGAGAGAGAGAGAGAGAGAGAGAGAGAGAGAGAGAGAGACAGAGACAGAGACACACAGAGAGAGAGAGCAGGATAAAGTATGTGGCTAAGTCATTTAACTTCCCCATGCCTCCATTCTTACTGAGGAGCATGGGACTAGGGAGATTTTCCAACATTGCTGCATTTCAGCAATGTCATGAGTGATGTGTAGAAATTTGTCAGATGTGAAAGAAAAGATTCAAGAGGCCATTGGGAGCAGAGGGAACAATTGGGACTTTAAAAGTGAGTGAGTTTTCCGAACTAAGGAGAGAAAAGCACCTTGGGAAGGTGCATGCTGTGTTAGTTCCTTCTGCTGAGATGAAACACCATGACCAAGGTAACTTATAAAATAAAGCATACAACTGGGGTCATGGTTCCAGAGGTTAGTCCATGACGGCAGAGAGCATGGGCGGGGGTGGGGGTGGGGACTTTTGAAGCAAAAGCCTGCCCTGTGACCCATCTCCTCCAACGAGGCCACACCTAACCCTCTCAGACAGGTTCGCCACCTGGGAGCCAAGTGCTCAAACTCGTGAGCCTATGGAGGCCATTCTCGTTGCAACCACCGCCTCCACACAGGAGGGAGTAGAGACAAAGATGGGCTGTGGAGAGAAAGCAAGCTCGGGAAGGGAGAAGGCAGACTGTGAGAGACCTTGAGTGACTAGAGCTGTGGGGAGCCACTGAAGGGAGCCGAGCAAGAGTGTGGCTCCGATGCAAAGAACCTCTCACACTCTCTTTTGATTGCTACTAACCTGGACAGCTTTGTGTGCTTCTCTGCCAGGGACAGAGTGTTGTGCTCACACCGACCACTGCCGTCAGACAGGGTGGAGGCCACAGCACGTTGTCCGGCCCTCGGAGATCAGAATGGACGGATGACGCCACGCCAGTGTTGATGGGAAAGGCCGATGCCAGAAATGTATCTCTGACCAGCTTCACCCGAGAGCCAGGGTCCATAGGAGCTGCGACCTTCCCCCCACATCTGGGGGGCGCAGCTCAGGAGAACAGACTCCCAGAGGAGCCTTCCTATGCTGTCCCGGCACCCAGGGACTCACTTCCTTCTGATGGAGGCAGCAGCTACAGGGTACCTTCCAGGTTTCTCACTCCCAGAGTAGAGCAACAGAACACCAAGCCCTACATTTATGACACCCCTAAAGCTGTGCATGGTGTGTCTCAGGCTGGGAAGGAGCTGGACAAAGTCAAAGAGGTCCCTGAGAGCATCCCCTGGCTCTCCAGACACACAAGCTCCCTGTCTCCAGACTCAGACCAGTTATCTGTTGCCAGCTCAGACAGCAGAGCTAGCATGGTGTCTTCGTGCTCCTCCATATCCATGGACTCCTCTCCGGGCTCCTCCTCAGAGGACTCAGCAAAAGAGCTGTGGATGGACATGGACTTTGCCAAAGAGACGGCAGTGGCCATGCAGCACAAAGTCACCAGCTCTGCAGCGGGCCTGATGCTCTTTGTAAGCAGGACTTGGAGGTTCAAGGACTCCTTGGAGACCAACATCCACGCCATCCGCAGGGCTGCTGACCACATCGAGGAAGCCTTAAGAGAGTTCCTGGATTTTGCCCAAGGGGTTGATGAGACCACCCGTAATCTCACAGACAGCCAGCTTCGGGCTAGGATTAGAGATCAGCTCCAAATAATCTCGGGTTCCTACCAGACTCTGCTGGATGCCAAAGGGAGCCTGGACCGCTGCAATTGGTCCCTTGGAGTTCTCGTGACGGACAAAGTCCAAAACAGCCTGGATGATCTGGAGAGGTTTGTCATGGTGGCACGGATGGTTCCAGAAGATGTCAAGAGATTTACCTCCATTGTCATTGCCAATGGGAGGCTCCTTTTTAAACAGAACTGTGAGAAAGGAGAGACGGAGTTGAAGTGTAAACAATGCATCCAGCCTCCCCAAAGAGAAACTGAGTCATACCTGAAGAGCAGCCCCTCCAATAAACAATTGGTGAAGGAAGAATGCCTTGAGCAAGTGAAGAAAGACAGAATGAATGTCTGTGGACAGGTGAGTTCGGGTGACGAACAATACATCTGGGAGTTTCGTTTGTTCCCTGAACTGGTCACCACAGAGGGAGATGCCGGGAATGCGTGCGTGTGGAAGTGTGTGCACCTGTGTGCGTGTGGAAGTCGGAGGACAACCCTGCCTGTTATTCCTCAGTGTCCCTCACTGGCCTGGAATTGAGCAAGCAGGCTGACTAGCTGGATAGTGGGACCTAGGGGTCTGCCTTCCTCTGCACCCCCAGCTCCTCAGGGACAAGCTTGTGCCGCCACACCCAACCTTTTTCCATGGGTTCCAGAGCTTGAACCCAGATCCTTGTGCTTGCAAAGGACCTCACTGATTGAACTATCTTCCAGACCCTTTTTGAATATGTGTGCGCATATAGTATGTAGGTGTCTGAATCTGTCATTCTCCATCTTGTTTTTTTTACCATTTTACATTGTCTCACTGTGTAACCCTGGCCTGGAACTCAGGGACCTGCCTCTGCCTCCTGAAGGCTGGGTCTAAAGGCTCATGCCACCATGACTGAAACAACTTTATTTTTACTCTCTACTTTGAGAAAGGATCTCCCTAAGTTGCCCAAGCAAGCTTTGAACTTGGGTCCCTCCTGCCTTAGCCTCCTGTCCTAGTTAGGGTTATTACTATTGTTATCATGAAATACCATGACCAAAAGCAAATTGGGGAGGAAAGGGTTTATTTGGATTATACTTCAACATTACTGTTCATCACTGAAAAAATCTGGACAGGAACTCAAGCAAGGCAGGAACCTGGAGGCAGGAGCTGATGCAGAGGCCATGGAGAGTGTTGCTCACTGGTTCGCTCCTCATGGCTTGCTCAGCCTGCTTTCTTGTAGAACCCAGGGTCATCAATCAGCCCATGGGTAGCCCACCCACAATTGCTGGGCCCTCCCTGTCAATAACTAATTGTTACGGGTATGTTTTCCCACCGGCCTGGTCCCAGAGCCTCACCAGCCACAAATAACACAGAGAGACTCTGTATTAGATATAAAGCTGTTAGCCTGTTACTAGCCTTTCTTACTGGCTAGCTCTGTCTTAAATATTAACCCATTTCTATCAATCTAAGTATTTCCATGTGGTCTTATCTTACTGGAGATAGGGTCCGGACCTCTTCCCTACATCTCTACATCTTGACTCTCCTCTACTACATTTTCCAGGATCCTCCTTGTCTCCTAGTCCCAACTATCTTGCTTTTCTATTGGCCCACAGTGCTTTATTCATTAACCAATAAGAGAAACATATGTATAGAATGACATCTCCTATGAACTAATGAAGAAAACACCCTACAGACTGCCCACAGCTCGATCTTGTGAGGACATTTTCTCAATTGCAGCTCCCTCCTCCCCTGTGACTCTAGCTTGTGTCAAGTTGACATAAAACTACCCAGCACATCTCTTCCATGATGTGGAGACCACAGGCCTGTGCTACTAACTGCCAGGTTTCTCCACATTTCCCAGTTGAGTCATTGTAGATGTGTTTCTCAGAGTCAGAGGTGGGGTACACGCATCCTTCCCACTGCTGGACTGACCAACCTGTTGCTCCAGGAACTTCTCTGGCTGACTGCCTTTGGACCCCACAAGGAGACCCTTGAGTTTGGGCATTGCCAAACTTCAGAGACCCAGCAAGTCATTGTGACAACAGAGAGATGGCGTTTCCCAGGTTCTTCTCAAGTCCCTGGCTGATAGAAGAGTGTTGATGCACTCTAGAAAGCTGGCTGTTTTTAATTTCCATTTTATTAGGCTATATTGGCAGGCAGGGTCCAGCCCTTTGCTGCCAAAGCCAATGAATGCATAAGTAGGCAGAATCATGAACGAAATCTCACATTTAAAAGTCAAGTCAAGTGGGGCACAGTGGTGCATGCCTGTAACCTCTGTACTCCGGAAGCTAGAGAGGAGGTGGTGAGTTCCAGGCCAATCTAGGTGACATGGGAAGATCTTAAGGGTGAGGAGGGGTGCATAAACCACCAACCATAAAAATGAAACAACAAAAAAAGGTGAACTTAAACAGTCACAGTAATCTGAAAGCTACTCAAATTAGTAATGTGAAGATTTAAATTTTTTCAGAAGCCACCTAACCTACAAGAGAAGGGAGAGCCCACCTTGGAACGAAGGCCCGATGTAAACAAGGATTTCCATGCTTTGGTAAGCCCTCATGCTCCCTGGGGCTCTGATGAACGTGGTTGACCCGGGAGCATTCTCCTTGGGCTATGAAAATTCAGGCCTACAGCGTACTCCCTGAGTGACATCCATCTGCTTCCTGCTCTCCTTAGGAGTGGAGGGACCCTGGGCGCCTGGATGGAAGAATTTCAGGTGCTTTTCAGGTGGCATACACATGACATTAATAATTTTCTTTCTTTCCCTCCTGTCCTTGTAGCTGGAATTGAACCCAGGGCCCTGGGCAAGGCAGGCAAAGTCCCTGCCACTGAGCTAAACCCCAGCCCAGCAACCCTCCCTTCCTTTGTGATGAGGAGCACAGGAAAACATTTTGTTTGGGGGTTTATGTTTCTTCATAATATCTTTGACACCTGATCATTATCTTTTAAACCAATGATGTTATCTATCACTGTTTGTTCTTGTTGGATATCCTTTTTTTATTTAAGTCCTAAAATTAACCAGAAGCCTTTTGTTATTTCTTATTTAAATAAGAAACAATCTAGTTTTATATATCAATCTCAGTTCCCTCTCCCTCCCACTGTCCAATGCCTCCTACCGACCCCCATCTCATCCCTCTTCTGCTCCATAGGAAAGGTGAGACCTTCTATGGGGGGGTCACCAAAGACTGTCACATCATTTGGGGCAGGGCTTAGGCTAAGAGAGCATCCCTCTATGTGGGATGGGCTCCCAGTGTCCATTCGTATTCTAGGGATAAATGCTTTCCACTATCAGAGGCCCCCATAGACTGCCCAAGCCTTCTAACTGTCACCCATGTGCAGGGGGCCTGATTCCGTCCTATGCTGGTTTCCAAGCTGTCAGTCTGGGGTCCATGAGTCCCCCCTTGTTCAGATCAGATGTTTCTGTGGGTTTTTCCAGCATGGTCTTGGCCCCTTTGCTCATCCCTCCTCCTTCTCTGCAACTGGATTTCAGTTCAGTGTTTATCTGTGGGTGTCTGCTTCTGCTTCCATCAGCTACTGGATGAAGGCTCTAGGGTAGCATATAAGGTAGTCATTAGTCTCATTATCAGGGAAGGGCATTTAAGTTAGCCTCTCCACTATTGCTTAGATTGTTAGTTGGGGTCATCTTTGTAGGTCTCTGGACATTTCCCTAGTGCCTGATTTCTCTTTAAACCTATAACAGCTCCCTCTATTGTGGTATCTCTTTTCTTGCTCTCCTCTATTCTTCCCCGACTCAGTCTTCCTGCTCCCTCATGTCCTCCTCCCCCCTCCTCTTCTCCCTTCTCTTTCTCCTGACTCCCTCTCCCCTCCCCCCTCCCAATTTGCTCAGGAAATTTTGTCCCTTTCCCCTTCTCTGAGGGACTATGTCTCTCTTAGGGTCCTCCTTGTTTCCTAGCTTCTCTGGAGGTGTGGATTGTAGGCTGGTGATCCTTTGCGCTATGTCTAATATCCACATACGAGTGATTGCACACCATGTTTGTCTTTTTGTGACTGGGGTTGGCTATCTTTTATTTGTGGCAGAAGGCAATTTTCCATTTGCCAACTTTAAGTGTTTTCTCTAAATTAATTCTTCCAGACTAGGGAGAGGGCTCCGTGAGTAAGAGTACTTGCTGAGCAAGTATGCAGACCTGAGTTCGAATCCCCAGCACCCCATGTAAAAAAAAAAAAAAGCCAGGCATGGCTGGCTGGCTACCATGTGATTGTAATCCCAGCATTGGAGAGGAAGCGGGTAGAGATTCTGGGAGCTCACTAGCTAGTCAGCCAAGATGTGGACCTTCTGGCTCTGTGAGAGACCCTACCTCAAGGCAAGAAGACAGGGAAAGATTGGGAAAGAAACTCGACAGCATGTTTGGGCCTCTGAATGTATGTGCACAAGTAATATCTGTACATGCACATACATGCGACACACACAAATGTTCTTTTAAAAACCAAGTGAGAAGGCGGTCACTGTTGAGAGAGGCACGAAGGGTACAGAAACTGTCGAGCTGCAGTAAACCAGACCAACAACGGCAGCATTAGAGAAAGCAGAGGGGGCAGAGATGCCATTGACTTGGGCAGGGTGTCTGACCGCTCAGAGACAGATCAGGACAAGAACCCAAGCCTCTTAGAGCTCAGCTCCCCAGCCTCTAGCACTTGGCTTTGACCTGCTGAAGGCTACGCTGTTTTATCCCATGTGAGGGGGCCTTACACTTAACTTGTAAGGGTATCACCGCTGCCCTCCAGCCTTCCTACAACTCTCAGTTTCTCATCTCTTGGATCTGGGCAGAGGTTAAGGACCTGCACCTCCAGAGTGACGCTGATGGTCCAGGGCCCACATGTGACAGTACTGCTCCACACTAACAGGGCTCCCTCGTTGGCTCTGGGCACCGGGACCTATGTACGGGATGCCCCCCCCCCATTCAGCATCCCAGGACCCCGGCCAGCTAACTGCCTGCAGCTGGTCTTCATTAAGAGACAACCATAGCTTCCTCCCTCATCCCTGCCCCAGGTAAAGCTTCAGTACGTTTTTCGTTTGCCTACAGTTGATACTTTCAAGCTGAGATGCTCATGATGCAATGTCTGTCTCACTGCTTCTACCCTCTGGCCGGAGACCAGGGTTCACCACATAGGTCAGGCCAGCCTTTGAACTGGCAGTCTTCCTGCCTCCACCTCCAGAGAGTAGGGATAACACTCAACTCCCCCGCTTCTTGAACATTTGAAAGTTGCAAATTTATCATCACCAATGTGCTTCTTATGGTTTGCAGAGCTGGTTGAACAAAACTGTCCACACAAACGCACTACAATCTATAACACAAGAATACATGCAGTTGCATGTCGAACGGTGCTTTGAAAACATTGACATTCACTTGTTAGGCAAATGTCACAGCCAGCTCTGAATTTCCTTAACAAATCTGCTCTTCTTAGAAGGGTTCTTGCAAATTGAGCAAGGAATGGCAACTGCAGTCCGCTGATGGTGCTAGCCCTTACGTATCATATCTCCTCCTTCCTTCTCTCTAGAGTCCTAGCTCTCTTACCTCTCCACGTCCCAGCCGGCAGGACGCAGACAGGAAGATCCACCTGTCCGAGCACTGCAGGCTCTATTTCGGAGCACTCTTCAAAGCCATTGGCGTCTTTACCAGCAGCCTCAGCAACAGCCAGCCCCCCGAGATCTTCATCACTCAGAGCAAGCTGGTCATCACAGCCGGGCAGAAGCTGGTGGACACGCTGTGCAAGGAGACCCAGGACAAGGATGAACGCAACGAGATTCTGTGTGGCAGCAGCCACCTGTGTGGACTGCTTAAGGACCTGGCGCTGGCCACCAAGGAGGCAGTGATCAAGTACCCGAGCCCCAGTGCCCTGGGCTGCCTCCAGACAGAGGTGGAGAAACTAGAGCGTCACACTCGGAAATTCAGAGAGACGCTGGAATGAAGCCTTTCTAGTCTTTCTAGCGCCTCCTAGTTGACCTGTAGAGGTCAACTCCTGGCTAGCTTCACGCCCACAGCTGGTGCCTCTCTGTCCTGCGGGACAGCCAGGCAGGCGGGCTGAAACAGCACAGTCCTCAGAGCTGGTATAGTAAGTGGCTAAGCCTCTGAAGGACACTGGCTGACCACAAGGAGGTCAAGAAAGAGGCAGGTGGACAAGTCGGGACCTACCTTGTGACGTTGAGCTCAGTGCCAAAGGGTACAGCACCAACCGTGGTGTTTTAGAAGCCACGTTTCCTGCCAGTCAAATGCGTGTGTGGTTTACAGTCATTCTACATTTATTTACTAGGCAGCACCTAAGGTCACATTAAAGGGGCCGAAGTGACAGCAGCGTATCGGGGCTCTGCCCTCGGAGTCAGTCCCACTGGGGAGACAGATGAAAGGACAAAGAAATGTCTGCAGTCTATCCACTGCTAGGGAAGTTGGGGAAACAGGAGAAAGGAACTCATTTCCCGAGTTTTAATCTCTGTTGCAGTCCTTAGAAAACGTAATGGCCTGCAGGGGCTGGTGGTGCCCGCCTTTAAGTAAGGAGAAGCGGGCAGATCTTAATGAGGCCAGACTGGTCTCTAGTGAGCTTCAAGACAAAGAGGGTTATAATCGTGAGAACCGATTTTTTTTAAAGTCGGCCCCCCCCCCCCCCCGCCTGCAAAAAGTAATGACGGTTTGCGTTCCCCTTATCAGTTAGTTTCGAATAAATACTGTGAGATGTATACAAATTGTGTGTGTGTGTGAGTGTGTGTGTGTGTGTGTGTGTGTGTGTGTGTGTGTGTGTGTCAGCTAGAGACTGAATCTGGGGGCTCCACGAATGCTAAGCATGTACTCTGCCACTAAGATTGACTCCTAGTCCCCACACACACAAATGTATTTCGGCTACATTACCTCACCCCAAAAGTGACTGCTATGTGTTCTGTTGTGTTGTCTACTAACTTATTTTGTACGTTATAAATCGATCAATTCCACTACTCAGTTAGATTTAGTTAATACCTCACTAGTCTCAAGTCTGTTACATATTTATCTATAATCATGGATTTAAACACGTTTTCAAGGTCCCCGGAGATGGCTCGGGAAGTAAAGGTAGCTACTTGCAATCTTGGTTGCCTGAGTCCTTGTGGAGGAAAGAGAAAACTAACCCCTCATAATTGTCCTTGAACATTCACACACACAAACCTAAACTGTAATTTAAAAATTAAACGTCTAAGCACACGCACGGCGGTCCTTTCCTTGAAGAGTCTCCGCGCCGTGTCTCCTGAGTGCCGTGGCACCAAAGGGAAACATTTGTTGAAACGATCTCCTCTTGGAACACACCTACAGGGAAGTGTGCAAGCTTGTATATGTCAGTCCAGACTGGAAAACAAAACCATCACTTGTGTGTCCCCGGGGGTGGACAGGAAGATGTGGCATGAGAGGACACCCACACGGTTCACAGCTATGGACGTGTTACCAAACACCCCTCGTGCAAACCACTTCCTCCTTTTCTCCTCGAAGCTCGACTTTCAAATCATGTTACCATGGCAACCTCATCCTTCACTCCCTGCAACTCGTGTCACTGTGATTACCTTACTCTTTGCTCCACGGGAAGTTCCCTGTCTTTCGTGTCACATGCTGCCTTCCCAAAGCGTCTCCAGGCTGTAGTGGCACCAAGGACAGCTTCTACCTTCTCTCGTGATGGGCACCTTTAGACTAGTGACTGCGGGGACCGGAGCATCTGCTGCTCTCACAGAAGGCCCTGGCTTGGTTCCCAGCATCCACACGGTGGCTCACAGCCATCTGTAACTCTAGTTCCAAGGGATCTGACAACCTCTTCTGTCCTCCTCAGGAGACAGGGGCAGAGATGGTGTAATACATACAGGCGTATGTATGTGACACAAACATCCATCCATCCATACTCATACATGCAAACACTCACAAATGCTGACTGTAGTGGCCAGAGAGCACGTCTTTCTTCTTTCAGGGAGCCTGAGTTCAGATCTTTAAAAGATGTTGCATGTAGGGCCAGGTGTAGCCGTACGCGTCTGCAATTCCAAAATACTTGGGAGGCAGGCAGAAAGGTCAGAAGTTCAAGGCCAGCCTGGGCTACATGAGGCCCTCTCTCAAGAGAACAGAACAGAAATAGCAGAGAGGGGTGAATGGTAGTAAGGAGAAAGAGCGGCGAAGACAGCAGCCTGAGACTCTGTCCCAAGCAAGCAAACAAAAGCCTCTAGCAGGCTGGTTTTATTTAGTCTCATGACCCTAGGACATGTGAGACTTGGACTCAGCCCAGAGCGTCACACTCTGAACAACTGGGACCCTGCTAGGATCCCGCTGTACTCTCTGTGACCACTCTGTCTCAGCAATGAGGGGAAAGAAATTCTGGGCTCTTAAGACAGCCTCGAGCCAACCGGGCTACATGGCTAGCTGACTTCAGGGCCTCCAGTGACGTCAGGGGCAGTTTCTGGGTCCCACACTCTAAGTCAGCTCCTATGGTGGCAAAGTGGCTGCCTGATTCATGACCAGAGAAGGGACTTCATTTTGCTTATACTACCATAAAGCAGGGGTCTGTCTGTGACAGTGCTGCACACACACTCACACACACCCACACACCCACACAACCTACTCACACACACCTACACACACTGACACACACCCACACACACCTACTCACACACACAACCTACTCACACACACCTACACACACTGACACACACCCACACACACCTACTCACACACCCACACACCCACACATACCTACTCACACACACCTACACACACTGACACACACCCACACAACCTACTCACACACACATGCACACCTACTCACACACGCACACGCACACCTACTCACACCTACTCACACACTCACTGACACACACACACCTACTCACACACACTCACACACACACACTCACTGACACACACCCTCACACACATCCACACACACCTACTCACACACACCCACTCATACACACCCACACACACTCACTGACACACACCCCCACACACACTCACACACACCCACACACACCTACTCACACACACCTACTCACACAGACACACACCCACACACACCTACTCACACACCCACACACACCTACTCACACACACCTACACACACTGACACACACCCACACAACCTACTCACACACACATGCACACCTACTCACACACACCCACGCACACCTACTCACACACGCACACCTACTCACACACGCATACACATACCTACTCACACACCCACACACCTACTCACACACACCCACACACACCTACTCACACATACCCACACACACCTACTCACACACACTCACTGACACAGAGTTAAACACATCACATACACACTCACACACATACTTCTCATTTCTACATTGCCACACACTCACTCACACATTCCCTCTCTCTCTCTCTCTCACACACACACACACACATATACACACACACTGCAATAACCCTAACCACTGGCTCAGTGTGGCACTGTGACACATCTAAGAATTTCTCCTGCCAGTTCTAAGGACACAGAAAGAAGAACCCAGTTCTGGGAGAAGAGGCTGTGTGGGTGTGTGGGTGTGCCTCCAAGTCATCTCACAGCACAGTTAGTCACTGGGGACTTACAGGACCCAGAACAGTTACACTCCGAGCTATGATTCTTTTACTTCTTTTTTTTTTTTTTTTTTCCTTTTGGGTTTTCAAGACAGGGTTCTCTGTGCAGCCTTGGCTGTCCTGGAACTTACTCTGGAGGCTAGGCTGGCCTAGAACTCACAGAGATCTGACTCCCGAGTACTGGATTAAAGGTGTACGCCCCATGCCAAGTACTAGGATCCGTTTCTGGGAAGAGACTTCAGGGGTCAGATGCACAGGAACCAGAGACAAGCTTCCAAGAGCCAAGATCATGCTGCTTTCTTCAACCACAAACTGTAGAGGCATATGTGGGGTGTTGCTAACCAGAGGGCCTCCTGAGAACTGGTGGCTGATGATACAAGTGTTCTATGCCAGGCATAGTCCATATATCTTGGCCTCCAGGGGAAAGCATATGGTTAGCCTGAATCTCACTGGGCAGAAAGCCATGCTTAGCCATTCTGTGGATGGTGAAAAGCCTTCCCAATCCCAAGTTCTCATGTTCCAATCAAGGGCCCACTCTTCAAACTGACTCTCCTGAGCATGGTGATCAGGCCTGTTCCATAAACACACATCTTCACGGAGAAGAGGATTCGGGCCCCAGGCGGTGGTGATGTAGAGATGGGCTCAGGTGAAGGCTGCACACCAACAGGTTTGTATCAGAGCCAGGGAGCTCTTGGCTTGGGAATGTCCAAACTCTTGCAACAGATCCGAAGCATACCTGCAACTATCTATATGAGTATCTATAGATATAGATACACCTGTCTATAGATATATCTGATAGATGTATGTGTGACTTTCAGATCAACCTGGTATAAATAGCAAGTGTAAATATAGCAAGTTACAGGTCAGCCAGGGCTACATGGTGATCCCATCTCAAAAAAAAAAAAAAAAAAAAAAAAAAAAAAAAAGAAAGAAAAAGAAAGAAAGAAAGAAAGAAAAAGAATAGTAGGTACCTGTCTACCAATAGATATCTAGATATGCAGATAGACAGGTAGGTAGGCAGGCAGGCAGGCAGGCAGGCAGGCGGACGGACAGACAGACAGACGCATTGTTGGCCTGAAAATCTGTCCTGCACTCTGGAGGGAGAAGCTATCTTTATCCTCCAAGACTGTTTGTTGGTCACAGCATGCTTGATAAGACAACTCAGAACAAAATCCCGTGTGGTCTGTGCAGAAATGAAGACAGCCATTGGGAGTTATCCTCCAGTAAGGTCAGTGATGTAGCCGGAAGCAGGAAATCAAAGGCTAAAACCTCGTTGCTGCAGAAATACTGGCCTGTTTACTAAATGATGTGGCAGCCTCTGTTTGCACTGCTCCCCTGGCCCAACACGCCCTAACACCTCACAAACTTGAACCCAGCCTCTCCCCAGTGGCAGACGGTCTAGCAGCTTGTGGCCTAGTGCTGCTTTTCGTATCTTTACATTTCTGAGTTGTGTTCAAACCAAGAACTGTTGTCAAGGGATGTGGGTCGGTTGGTAGAATATGTGTTTAGCTCTCAGGAAGTCCAGGGTGTTCCATCCCCAGCACCTCATAAACGAGATCTGGCACACGGCTGGAATCCCAGCACTCAGGTGGGCAGGGTAAGGGTCAGGATTTCAAGGTCATTTTCAACTACACATGGACTCTGAGGCCAGCCTGGGCCATGTGAGACCCTTCCAAATAAGCAAAGAAAGAAAATTCTTGTCAGCAAAGAGCAAACCCATTATGTATAACATCATGAAAAATATTGCAAGTGCCTCCTTCCCTTTTTGCACAGACAGACAATGGCCATCACGGGAGTTAGCCTCCACGGACTGGCTCCAGAGAGCTACCCAGGAGCTTCAGAACCACATGCAATTTGTCAGCTTTTGACAACTTCTTGTTAAACAAATGTCGATAATATCCAACATTCTGCACCATTTCCTACACACACACACACACACCCAGGAAATGGTGGGCGGTGGTAACACCAACTTGGCCTTGATTAAGTTCAGTTTGCCAAGAGGATGGAAGTGGTGAGGGCCCCTGGGAGATCTCCCAGCGTGACAAGCACTGGGGACTCATGTATCCACTTTGGTGCGAATGTTTTTTTCTGAGAGAGGGTCTTGCTGTGTAGCCCAGGCTATCTTCAACACCCCCATCTTCCCAAGTGCTAGGTTGCAGGCATGGGTCACTCCCCAAACAAGTAGTATAGTAATATCTATAAAACATCTTCTGGGGCCAGCAGGTAAGATGAGTCAATGGCTAAAGGTGCTTCCTGCCAAGCCTGAGCCCAAGTCACAGGATCCACATGGTGGAAGATAGAACTACCTCCTGTGAATTGTTGTCTGCCCTCCACACACAAGCTGTAATTCACACACATGTGTGCTGGCAAAACATTCATACACAGAAAGTTAAAAGGCATTTTTTAAACTTTTGAAAATTCTAATATATCGGGGTTTTTTTTTTTTTTTTTTGTTTGTTTGGTTTTTTTTTTTTTGTTTTGTTTTTTTTTTTTTTTTGAGGCAGGATAGAATGGGAACTTTTTTTTTTTTTTTTTTTTTTTTTTTTTGGTTTCGGACACAGGGTTTCTCTTCGTAACTTTGGCTGTCCTGGAGCTCAAGAGATCTGCCTGCCTCTGCCTCCCGAGGGCTGGGGTTAAAGGAGTATGCTAGAAAGGAAAATTTAAAGGGACATAGGAAGCAGAGAAAACTCTTACCTAGGGTCAGTTTACATGTTCCAGAGACTGAAACACAACATGACTAAATCATGATTACTTGCAAATATGAGTTCAAGGCCAGCCAGAGCTACACAGCTCCAATCTCAAGAAGAGGAGGAGGGGGAAGGGGGAGGGAAAGGGAGAGGAGGAGGAAGAAGGATATTGCCTGCAGAAACTACATTCCTTTTTAAAGAGATATGTTAAATAAGTACATTAAGCCAGGCACGGTGGTGCACATCTTAAATCCCACGACTCAGGCTCAGGGGCAGAGGCAGGCAGATCTCCATTAGTTCCAGGCCAGCCAAGGCTACATAGGGAGGCATTGCCTCAAACAAAAAACACCAGGGGAGCAAGGCTGTGATGGCGCACGCCTTTAATCCCAGCAGAGGCAGGCAGGTCTCTGTGAGTGTGAGGCCAGCCTGGTCTACAGAGTGAATGTCAGGACAGCCAGTTCTGTTACACAGAAAAACCCTGTCTTGAAAAACAAAAACAAAACAAACAAAAAACCCACCAGGGGTTTTTTAAAACAATGAAAGTGCTGAAGATATGCCAAATTGGGTACTGCGTCTGCCTATCACACACAAAGATTTGCGTCCATCCCCAACACAGCAGAAACTGGGTGTGGTGGTGAGCACCTGTACTTCCAGCACCACTGAGATGGAGTCAGGAGGATCAGAAGTTCAAAGTTAAGCCCAGCATTGGCGGGGCACGCCTTTAATCCCAGCACTCAGGAGGCAGAGGCAGGTGGATCTCTGTAAATTTGAGTCCAGCCTGGTCTACAGAGCAAGTTCCAGGGCAGACTCCACAGCAATACACAGAGAAACCCTGTCTCGAATAACCAAAAAAAAAAAAAAGAAAAAAGAAAGAAAGAAAGGGAAAAAAAAAAAAAAAAAAAAAGAAGTTCGAAGTCAGCCTTGGCTACATAGAGAGTTCCACTTTTCTGCAAACCACCACCCACAGACCATGCTCCTTGGCAGGGTTCTAGTGAGTCTTGGATCTCTCTGTACCAGCACGCTACTCTCATCCCTGAACCTGGACAATGCAACCCGTGATGGGAAACTGAGTCAACCAGCTCACTGTTTAGTACTTAATCTGTAAACTTTGCTTGATCTCAGAACTTTGTTGCAAGTTGCACAGTTCGAGTTATGTAACTTCAGAAACCACAAAATCAGATGTATAGATACTGCTAGACAACTAAATGTGACGCCCCCGCCTTGAAAAGCCCATACCCAAGTCCTGGGTGCTTAGTACTATCCCTTTCTATTTTGTGTATGTATATACATATGTACATATGCACTCTCGACAAGCTAGGAAAACATGATATCCCACTCTGAGATATATCCACAGCCCTTAAAAAACATTTGTTTTTGAGCCAGTTAATGGTGGCACACGCCTTTGATCCCAGCACTCGGGAGGCAGAGGCAGGCAGAACTCTGTGAGTTCAAGGCCAGCCTGGTCTACAGAGCCACACAGGGAAACCTTGTTTCAAAAAAACCAAAAATTAAAAAATTTTGAGACAAGGTCTCACTCTGTAGCCTAGGCTGGCCCTAATACATGCCATATAGGCCCAGGCTAGCCTTGAACTCAACATGATTCACAAGACTGAAGGCACAGACATAGGCATCGTTCTGGGCCTGCAACCACCACCTAGGACGCCAGGAACAGCAGAGTCCCAGAGGACAGAGCACTTCCCCTAAGTGAAGGTGACGTACAGAAGAAACAGGTCACCCCACCACGCAGTGGGGACTTCAGGTTGGCCACCTTGTAGGACTAGAGCCAACACAGAAGTCAAAGAGACCACACCTAGACCACAGCTGTTTACTTATATCTGCCTTTTGGCCCTGTGTTTCTTTAGGTCCACAGCTCATGTCAGTACCCCAAAGACAGACAGGGTTGTCACTGATATAAGGACTCAGGCATTACGCTGGCCTGCCTGTCACCTGGCAGAATGCACTCAGGCAGGACCCTGGTCAGCCCAGGGGTCCATGACTACTAGTCTCCACGCAGGTGCAAAGGACCCTTTAAAAGACAGACCCCCCCCCACACACACACACTTATGGTCTCTTTCCCGCTGTTCCCCTGAGACAGACAGGACTTCTGTCTCCCTCTTCTGTCCTCTCTCTGTCTCTGTGTCTCCTTACCTCTTTTCTCTTTGCCCCCCCCCCTTTTCCCTTTCTAATAAAACTTCTCGCTTAAGATCCGTCTGCCTGGCGTGTCTGTCCCCCGCCTGGGTCACCCTCGGGCACTACATGGGATCCACCACGGCTCCTCACGCTTATAACAATTGAACCCCGTATTTGTCGTCTTCCCAATATGGCCACCCTGAATGCATCCCTTCCACCGCCTTTACCGTCACTAATCTCTTTAACTGGCACAATGGGACGGGCGACTAAACTAAGCGTGTGGTGACACTAGAGCCCTCAAAAGCCTGGACACAGGCTCAGTGCTGTTCTGTGAGTGGCCGCTGGTTTGGTTCCAGGAACCCCAGGGAGATCCTACCCCTGTCCTGCCCTCCACAGGCACCTGTACTCATCTCGTGCACATACACACATGCAGGCTCACACACGTGTTTGGTTGTTGTTTGGTTGCTTGGTTTTTTGAGACAGGGTTTCTCTGTAGCTTTGGAGCCTGTCCTGGAACTCGCTCTGTAGACCAGGCTGGCCTCGAACTCACAGAGACCCGCCTGCCTCTGCCTCCCCGGTGCTAGGATTAAAGGCGCCGCCGCCGCCGCCGCCGCCGCCGCCACCACCCGGCTGCCTGTTTTTTAAGTCTGCCGATCCAGGGGCGGAGGCCTCGCGGCCAGCACTGCAGAAGCCCCCAGTGCTCCGGGTCACCCGTCCAGCTAAAGCCCGGGACCGGAGGGGGAGAAGAAGGGCCCGCCACGGCCAGAAGTGGGCGCTCTCCCGAGGATGCCCTGGAGCCACGCCCAACTCCGGGCGACGTCCCCATAGCAACCGCCGCTGCACAAAAGAATCCGCGGATGCACGCAGCGGCCCCGCCCCCTTCTCGCGGCGGGACGGCCCGTGTGCGTCATCAAGGAGCGCCGGAAGCGGGCAAGGTTTCGGCACAGACCCCGGAAGCGGCGGCATCTGGGTCTCGCTGCGGCTTCTGACTCCGGCCTCGGGATGGGTTGCGACGGAGGAACAATCCCCAAGAGGCACGAGCTGGTCAAGGGACCGAAGAAAGTCGAGAAGGTCAGCGGGACTAGGCCGGGGTATCCTCCCAACAGGCACGGCGTTGATACGCAAATTCTAACCGACGCTCAAAAGAACAGGCTGGAGTGGCCCAGGCCACATCTGCAGTTAGCAACGATCGCATTGGTGGATGGTTAGATGCTCGTGTGTTTTTGTTTTGGTTTTGAGTCAGGCTCTCACTAGGTGGCCCTGGCTGTCTGGAAATCCTGTCTCTGCCTGCTCCGTGCAGGGACTAAAGGTGTGGGCCGCCAGGCCTGGTGTTTTAAAAAGTTATGTTTTGTGTGTGGACAGGGGAGTGCGGTACCCAAAGAGTCCAGAAGAAGGAATCTGATCCCCAGGAGCTAGAGTTACCGGTTCTTGTGCGCCACCAGACTTGGCTGTTAGGAACCAAACTCGGGTCCTTTGGAAGAACAGTACAAAGATTTAACCACTGAGGCAGTCTCTCCAGCCTGAGCTTTGTGCATATTAAAGGAGGCTTCCCGGACCGTTCCCTTATTTTGTGAGGTCAGACCCTCATTAAATTATTTTACCAGTGGGCACACTGAATTGGTGGCTTAGCCCAGTCGATCCCCACCTGACTCGGAGCTCCTAGTGGCGGAAGTTATGCACCATTTTTCTTCCAAAACTAGCACAGCTTCGGGCACAGTGAATATTTTGAATAATGAGTAAATGGTCTCTAAATCCTACAAGACATTGAGCAAAGTGTATAGTTCTACACTAATGGCAAGGAAATTGAGTTCAGGAAAGTGAATTAAGACTGTGCGATTCACCAGCCTGAATTGTGAACCGCTATTCCCTCCCAGTTATGTGCGTTTCAAAGCGAGTGCTGGTGATGACTGTGTAATGAGGCACGGAGGACCCTTGATAAAGTTCCCAGCACAGGGTGGTCCATGTTTCCTGACCCAGCATACAGAGAACTTTGGGGTGCGCGGTGAATCCCATCCAGTATATTTGGGACCCTGCTATGACTTCGTGTCACATGCCTAATCAATCCCATTGGGTCCTGTATGAAATCTCTCTTGCTTGTCCCTCCGTCCTTATCTTCTGCCCCCTTTAGTTCAGCCCCTGTGATGTCTCTGCACATAGACATCCACTGAGCGTGTGTTGAAAGCGAGGCTAGGGTACTCTCAGGCCCTGCCAGCATGTCACAGTCAAGTGTTCAAAAAGCAATCGTCTTCTGTTGTCCTGTGTCCCAGACAGGCAAGGAGCAGTGTAAGGAAGGAGTTGGCAAAAAGAAAAACTGATCTCGGAAGGGTAAAGAAAAGGATGATGAGGAAGGGTGGTTTTTATTAGCCCTGTTCATACAAGTACCTTATTAAATGCTTGTTATATATGCTGTTGGCCCCGAGGGCAGAGAACAGAACGAGCTATCCCTTCTGGAGCTTTCATTTCAAATGTGGATTGTGAAGTAATGATGTCAATATGGAGGTGGGGATCTGCCCCTGCCTGACACAGCTCCTAAGTGCCCTGCAAGAATCACTTGTTCTAAGAGAGGTGTGTGATGACTACTTTCTTTCTTTCTTTCTTTCTTTCTTTCTTCCTTCCTTCCTTCCTTCCTTTCTTTCTTTCTTTTTTTTAATTTAAATAAGGGCTCACTATGTAGTCCTGGCTGGTCTGGAACTCTATGTGGATCAGGCTGGCCTCAAACTGATAGAAATCCACCCACCTCTGCCTCAAATGCTGGGCTTAAAGGTGTGTACTACCGCATCCATGGTGACTTGAACTCCTGGTTGGAGACCCGTCAGCAGAGTGACAAAATCATGCTTAGAAGCTTTTACTTGCTTTTTTTCTTTTAATATGTATTTATGATTTTTACCTGTATATACATGAGTTTACTTACACCATGCGTGTGCAGGAATCCAGGGAGGCTAGAAAAGGGAATTAGAGTCCCCTGGAACTGGAGTTGTCATCTGCCTAACATGTATTGGGAACCAAAACCCAGTCTTCTCCAAGAGCAATAATACTTTGTTTTGAGACAGGATTTCTCTGTGTACCAGCTCTGGCTGTCCTGAAACTCAATCTGTAGACCAGCTGGCCTGGAACTCACAGAGATTTGCCTGCCTCTGCCTCTCGAGTGCTTGGATTAAAGGTGTGTGCCACCAACACCCAGCTTGCAGTAATGCTCTTAAACATTGAGCTGTCTCTCCAGCCTTGTAACTTGGTGTTTTTATATCCCCTCCATGTTCCAGGAAGAAATGTCGTGTTCTATAAGGTGTTAATTTACTGAACAATACTAATGTATTGACGTGTAGGGCTGGAGCCAGATCTTGGTGTTTGCAGAGTGGTTTGTTCACTCCCTCCATTCCCCCAATTCTATTTTATATGATAATTGTGTACACAGTTTAATGATGTGATATGAACTTGCTTTGTGTGTCAGATGTTAGTGGGTCTTTATTTAACAATATTAATTTAAAAGCATTTTAAGCCAGGCGGTGGTGGCTCATGCCTTTAATCCCAGCACTCAGGAGGCAGAGGCAGGAGGATCTCTGTGAGTTCCGGGCCAACCTGGTCTATAGAGCTAGTTCCAGGACAGGCTCCAAAGCAAAACAGAGAAACCCTGTCTCGAGAAACCAAATAATAATAATAATAATAATAATATAACCTCTTTAAAATTTGTCTTACGTGCTTCGTATGTGAGGTCAGAGCATCCTTTAGACGCTGCCTCTCATTCCACTGTGGGTCCCAGGAATCACATAGAACTTGGGTTTTTGTTGTTGTTGCTTGTTTTGTTTTGTTTCGTGTCTGAGACATCTCACCTCCCCTAATGTTTAAAAGCTTTTCTGAAGTCCCAACTTCATATATTACTATTTTATTTACATATTGTTTTTATTATTACTTATGACACTGGGGATTGAGCCTAGGGCCTCATGTTTGTTAAGCAACACCATCTGCACTATTCACATCCCAGCCATTTACATTTTCTTTTGTGCTTTTGTGGGGGTTTTGGTTTGGAGGAGGTTGGTTTTTGTTTTTTGTTTTTTAAGGCAGGATCTTACTTGCTCTGTATGTAGACTAGGCTGGTCTCAAACTCAGAGACTCACCTGCCTCTGTCTCCCCAGTGCTGGGATTAAAGGTGTGTGTGGGTTCCAGGGACAAACTCGGGTCATCAGACATGGAGGCAAGTGCCAGTCCCCATGAGCTGTCTCTCTGGCTCCATTATTTTCTTTTAGAAGCAGCATCTTGTTGGGTTATCCAGGCTGGCCCCCAACTTCATCCTCCTGCGTCAGACTCTCAAGTACAGGGATAGCTCACTGCTGCTCCTGGGTTTGAGTCAGTATCCTTGATTTAAGAATTAGAAACATAGCGCAGACATCAGTTACTTTTCTGTTGCTGTGGTAAAACACCATGACCAAGGCAACTTAACCAAGAGTTTCTTTTGGTTTATGCTTCCTGAGGGTGAGTGCACGGCAGCCAGTGGCAGAGCACGAAGCTGACTGACAGATCACAGTTCCGTCCTCAGACAGAATGAATGAGACAGGGTTATAAACCCCCAGGCACCTCCAGGGCTGTGTGTCCTCCAGCAAGGCCACAGCTCCGACCCTGAGGTTTCCTAACTCCCCACACCCCAAACAGCATCACCCAGTGGGGATCAGGTGTCCATGTGTGTGAGCCTGTGAGGGACCACCGTGTGGCATCTGATGCATTTTACACGTGGAAGGGCCTGAAGGACTGTGTGTCTTTTCTGTCTCAGGTCGACAAAGATGCCGAGCTGGTGGCCCAGTGGAACTATTGTACGCTAAGTCAGGAAATCCTGAGGCGCCCGATCGTTGCCTGTGAGCTTGGCAGGTATGGATTATTTACTTGGTCAAGATATACTGATTCTGCTGATTCTGAAGTCAATGTTGAGGTGCTTGATTGATTAACTAGGAACTGTCCCAAGCAGATACGTGGGGACGATGGCCCTGGATCTGGACATAGCTCTGCCCCTTCTTCCTCAGTTTGCTGTACTCTTGGGAGCCAATAGTAGCTGCTAAGATATAACCCGAAGCACCCATGAGTGCTGTGAAGAGGAGCAGGGAGTTGGAGAACTGGAGAGGGCACGGCCTGCCGAAAGGGGGCCAAGGGGGTGGGCGAGGCTGCTACTCAGTCCTGACAACTGAACAATGCGGGGCTGGGGGTGTAACCCTTCTGATCTTGATCTTTAAGAACAGAGGGCAGTAAGGACTTTCACACTGATTTTTCCTGGTCGTAAAGTCCTTGTTCAGGTGTATTTGCGCCTAGCCGTCTGCCTCCTTGACTTAAGTTGCTGCTCTGTGTGCTCTGCAAGGGGTTACACCTGCCTTTAGCAGCGCAGGATGTCGTTAGCAAATGCAGGTGGCTTGAATCATGTTCAGTTCTGCCTTCCCTGTTTGGTTATCTGAAATCATTGCTATTGTGTAAAGTAATCCTCACTTTCATAGACTGTATAACAAAGACGCCGTCATCGAGTTCCTGTTGGACAAGTCTGCTGAAAAGGCTCTGGGGAAGGCGGCATCACACATTCGGAGCATCAAGGTAAGGACAAGGGCATGGTCCACTGAGTGAGGTCACTATAATAGGATTTGTGTGTGAATTCAGCACCAACAAGATGGCTCCGTGAGTGAAAGTACTTGCTGCCTACCCGATGGTGCACACTTATAACCCGAGTTCCATCCCTGGGACCCACATGGTGGAAGGAATAATACACTAAAGAGAATACATAAATAAACATAAAATTCTGTATTGAAAATTGGATTGAGGACTTGAGTTCAAATCTCCAGCACCCAGGTAAAAAGCAAGGTGTGGTGGCTGTGACCTCAGCGCTGGGGAGGTGAGCAGGGGGCTCTCAGACAGCTAGTCTCGCTGACTTGTCAGCTCCAGGTTCACGAGGCTCTCTGAGAAAATAAGGTGAAGAGAGATGGAGGGCATCTGACCTGAATGCACTGTCTCCCGCCGGGAGGGTATGCTGAAGCGGTGGGGGCAGGAGGATCATGAGGGACACAGATGGCACTGAGCAGGCCAGAGCCTCACACACATGCACGTGAACACACACACGCACGCATACACCACACACAAGCACAAATGAACGTGAAAAGGTTGTACACCTGATGTTGAAATAGTTTCTTAGATTGGTTCGGCTTACAATTCCTTTCCTTCTGGCGCTGCCAGAATGATGGGCGTTCTGTGGAAGTCACTCCTCCCGGGCCAGGGTGGCCATGCTGCTCACCTGCAGAGCCCTGTGGGTCAGCATTACTAATGGTTCTCCACAGAATGTGACGGAACTCAGGCTGTCTGACAACCCTGCCTGGGAAGGAGATAAAGGAAACACTAAGGGTGACAAGCATGACGACCTGCAGCGAGCACGGTTCATCTGCCCTGTGGTGGGCTTGGAGATGAACGGCCGACACAGGTGAGTGGTGACGAGTGACCGCAATGACCCTGGTCTCACTGGGATCGCCTGTGCTGTCCTAGGGCTGGAGTGGGGCCTTATGAGAAGCAATGTCCCGTCACGGTGGACTCCTCCTCCCCCACGGTGGACTCCTCCCCCAGGAGCCGCCTGAGCGCTGTGTGTGTCCCTGCTCTGCTGGGTGTGTGTGTGTGTGTGTGTGTGTGTGTGTGTGTGTGTGTGTCCCTGCTCTGCTCACTGGTCTCAATTCTGGCTCGAGCTGCTCTCTCTGTCCCTCTCCAGGTTTTGCTTCCTTCGATGCTGCGGCTGTGTGTTTTCTGAACGCGCCTTGAAAGAGATAAAAGCTGAAGTTTGCCACACGGTGAGTTCCCACCACACCCATTTGTTCCTTCTTAGCGGATGAGGGAGCGGCTCCAGCATCTTTCCCTCTGTCATTTCAACTGTAAGTTCTTCGCGCCTCTTCTCCCAGACGCACACACTCCACACCCTGCCTCCCTTCCGTGAGCCTCCTCTGCCTCACTTGCTCTGCAGATCCTTTCGCTGGTCCTTGCTCATCACCGAGTACCGTCTTCCCCCCTCATCTTACCATCATCACAGATGTGTGCACGTGTGTCAGCCTTCCCCACTGAACTGTGTGCTTTTGAAGGCAGGGGACAGGGTGTGTTGCCCCTTGATCTCTAGGCCATGCCTTCAGTAAGTGATCACAGGAGGACTGTTCTTCCAGACTGTCACTAGTCCCTCAGACCAAAGCATGATGACTTGGCATTTGCAGGTGCTGCCGCCCCAAGCCTTTCTTTCTCTCTCTGGTGCTTATTTGCATGGCGTTTATTGTGATGTTGTAGAGAGAGGCCATACGTGACTGTACTCAGTGAATGTAGGTGTGGCTAGGCTTGTCACAGATTGCTCCCTCTGTTGGTGGCTTTTTGTGAGCAGTTGTCTTGGCAGCTCCTGTCCTGTCCTAGCCCTTTATGGGGGGAGTAGGGAGGATATCCTGAAGGAAAAAGCTCACCAAAGTCCTGTTCTTGGGCATCTTCATTCCTCCGGGGAGACCCTCACAGAAGTGAGTGTATCGCTATGACGTGCTTAGAAGGGAGAACACAGGCTTTGTATTCAAGAGAGTGTTGACTGTAGCAGCAGGCAGGAGAGGCTTTGAGTTCACAGCTAAAGGGCACAAAGGCGCTAGCCAAGCTTGGCAGGAGCCGGGAGCAGCAGCAGAAGTGGCAGGGGACTCTGCTGATTCAAGGGCAGTAAGTGTGGCCAGAGGAAGGACAGGAGGCTGAGTGGGGTGACAGCCACCTCACATGGAACTGGGTGGCCACCTTGGCATTTATGGATTTTGGTCTTAAGATGGTGGAAAGCCAGCTTGAAGTGGGTCCAGATGTCCTTGGGATTAAAGCGCACGCTCTACAAAAGAAGCTCCACAATAGAGCCCTGAGTGATCCATCCCTCTTGTGCAGCATCCCTGAAGCTGATGGGATGAAGCCAGGGATGCTGGACCGTGACTGACTCATCTCCATAGCACGTGCAAATGTCACACTAGGCTTTCTTTTCTAAAGGTATGTCTTTGGGAGTTAACTGCTTAGTGCAGCTGGTGGCGTGTATGGGTCTCCTGTTGATGGTGATATGGATGCTGCCAGGGAAATAAGATCTGAATGGCAGTGTCTAGAGAAGGCGTGTCACATGCTTCCAGCTTGGACTTCAAAAGTGGGTTGGGGCATGGTTTAATCTGCAAGACTGCAGAAGTTAGAACATCACAGAGCACTGGGCAGGCATGCCACACGAGGCAGGAATCTCTTGCTGTCAGAACTTGACTGCTGAGACCTGGCTCTTCATGAAGACTAGAACGTTCTCACCTTCTGGAGGCCAAGAAGTCCAAGCAAGGTGCACAGTGTCCCGTGTGTTAATGTGGGGGATGATGAGGGTCAGAGTGGAACAACCTCAGTCTTAATGTGCATGATGACAAGAGTCAGACAGTGGAATGGCCTCAGCAAGCCTGGGTTCAAATGTTCACAAGCATCAGATGCCCCAAAGCTCCTTTCTGGCTGCCAGGAGTCCTCTGCCTGTGGAGCGCCCTCCCCCTCAGTGCATCTCAGCCAGCTCCTCTCCCTCGCTGACATTATCAGACCCTCTGTGTGAAGCACGGTCATGCTCCAGTGTGGGGAAAGGACTTGTCCTTTATAGGGAACACACACCAGTGACATCAGCATTCATTATTCTATGAGGCTCTGCGACCCAGACACCTGCCTCCCAGCCCTGCCGTACTGGGAACTGATTTTTCAACCCAGGGACTTTGAGGAACACATCCCTGTGGCCTGTCAGTGTTGAGAGCCTGGCGTGGATCAGTTTGGCTTGGGAAAGTAGCATCTCTCTGGGCCCCAGGGTCTAGTATGTAAAGTGAAGGGATTGTAAGGACTCAGAACTTCTCCTTTTAGATCCAAACATTCCAGTAAGGCAAGACATAGTCAGGTGTTATCAAGGCTCAAAGCCCAACTCCAAGTGTGAAGCTTCTCAAGTTTGGTAATGAGTACATTGGGAGAAGGTTGTCTCCCTGTGGGAACCTTCCTGAGGTACCAGGTGCCCAGCAGAGGATCCCGGCTGGGCAGTGTCCTCCGTCCCACCCTTCCTTGACCTGATGGGAAGGAGAGAGAGCATCTCTTTGGGAAGTTTTTATGGGTCAGACCTGCAAATTATACCTGGAGCATCTCACATTCCACTGGCTAGAGCCCAGTCACATGACCACGCCTTACTTCAAGAAGCCCGCGTAAAGGATCTTGCTAGGTGTATAGATGACTGGCAAGTGCTGGCCCTTTCTGCAAGAATGTGCCCGGTGCAGAGATGGCACAGCGTCCCCAGGGACAGGTGTCACGATGTGTGAAGGGAGGGGAAGCAGGGTCAAGACTGGGCGGCTTAGGCGCTGTCTGAAATGTACAACAAGGGTTTCTGTGCCAGGGAGGCAGCTGGGTCTCTGCTTGTCAGCCTGGGGCTGGCTTGAGATTTGTCCTTTTGTCCCCACAAGTGGCTGTGACACACTCACACACTGTACACACAGTAACACTAAAATAATTCAAACACTCATAGGCTCCAACTCACTTTGGAGTTGTGTATGCAGTGATGTTATGGTGTGCCCTTTGCCCTCAGGAACAGCACCCAGAGAGGCGCGGGTGCTGTGGTTTGCTTCATCCAATAACCAGATGACTAGCCAGAATTCGAGTTGTATTCCTACTGGGTGCTCCATGTCTTAAAATAAGAAATGCATTGCCATGTAAAAGGCCATGGGTAGCTTAACATTTTCAGTGTGCAGTAAGCAAAAATGTTTGCCTAAACAGACTGCCTTAATCTGACATATTTTGCTTAAAGTTGATTTATAGGGTCTACCTTTATATTGATATTTATAGTGTCTTCACTCTGCCCAGCTTTCCAGGCCACATCACTGGATATGATCTCATCTCTGTGTGAGGAGCCTCAGGTGACTGGGGTTCTGATATTTGGTCTTTATAGTGTGTGTTCGTTTCCTTTCTGGGACTCCTGCTTTAAAAAAAAAAAAGTATTTCCAGGCTGGAGAGAAGGCTCAGTGTTTAAAAGCACTGGTTGTTCTTGCAGAGGATCTGAGTTCAGTTCCCTTCACCACATGGTGTCTGGAAACCATTTGATTTGTAACTCCAGTTCCAGGGGAGCCAGCACCTGCTGACTTCTGTGGACATGTGGTACACATACATACATGCATGCATGCACGCGTGCGCGCGCGCGCACACACACACACACACACACATACACACATACATGCATACATGCATGCACACACACATACATACAGTACAAACACATACATACACAAATACATACATACATATATACACACGTACATACATACGGTACACATACATACCATACACATAGTTGAGCGTGTCAGTCTTTATGCCACCAAGGACATTGTTAGAGAAAGAGTATATATAAAAGTTTCTTGTAACCCTGACAGCAGAAGAGTTGGGGACTTAGGAAGGATGGACCTGCGTCTGTGACTCAGGATGGCTAAGGCCATTCGTGCCTTCAGCCTGTTTGCCACACGAATTAACTGACTTAAAAAACTAACTGAAAGTCAAGAGTGGCCTCTTCCTCCTCTCTCCACATTCTTCTGTGCAGAAATCCCTGTGATGGCGGCATTGGCCAGTGCCATTATGAGGCACCCACATGTCAGGAAGGAGGAGTAGATGGCTGACCAAGACCCCACAAACTGCAGGCAGCCCTCTTAAGCTCTGTTTCTCTCTATGGGATAATCCATTTTACCTAGAGAAGGGGTCCCCCAGAAGTGTTTCCGAAATTTTCTAGAACGGAGTTGTGCTGTTCTCGGCCCACGACAATAGCTCTCAGAAGCATGGTTTTTCCCTGTGTCCATCGGTGCCCCTTGCACAGGCTCTCCAGGCCCTCAGAACAAGACCTACTGCGCTGGACTCATTGGCTGGAGAAATCCGGCCTCCGCAGCTGCTCACTGAGCAGGTGCTCAGCCTTCCAGGTGTGTTTGCACTCCCCAGCCACGGCCTTTTCCTCTGTGGCTTCCTGCCTGTGCTCAGTGGTGGAGTCTGGCCAGGAGCACGCTTCTGCATTCATTTTTAAACTAATTCACGTCCAGGAATTGAAACAGTGATGTCAACAAAAGTGTCCCTTAGTGGTGGGGTTGCCTGTCGAAGTGGCTTTCCTGGGGAAATTGCCAGTGTGGCTCTGTGGGGACTTCAGCCTGCTGCAGAGCTTTGAATCTGTGCCACCTCTCTAGACATGCCACCACCAGTGGTTCTGTGGACGGCTCAAACGTGGCAAACAAAGCTGGCGATTGGATGAGCCAGGGCAGGTCTCCCAGGCCGTAGACACAGGTGTCTTGGGCATCGTGGCCTGCAGAAAGAAACAAATGTAACTGCCTGTTTCCCCACCAGTTCATTCCAGTAGAGTAAGTGGGGCGCACTTCAGGTGTAGCTGGGAGGCTCCAGTGCAGAGTTCAGAAGAAGCAGCATCCCGTAACTGGTCAGTCTCTGAGCTTGGATTTTGAATTTATAATGAAGGGAATCTCACCTTTGGGCTAGTATTTGGGGAACACTCTAACAGTAAAAGCCACTAAATAGTGCTGCCATACCAGGCATGGAGGCTCCTGCCTGTAAATCACAGTGCTTGGGCCGCTAGGCAGGAGGATTGCCATGAGTTTAGGACATCGTTAGTACCAGACCAGTCTGGGCCTAATGAGATGAGCCCTGGACCTAATTCCTATTTTAACTGCTTACACTTGTACCAAGCTTTACTCAGAAGAACCAATAAAGGGAGTTGATGACTGTCTCTACCAGGTTTTACTGTCTCTACCAGGCCTTTCTCATGAGCTGCCCACAGCCAAGTCAAAGTCTGAGAAGTCCTGGGATCAGAATCTGGAGGCCGTGCAGGATGTGGCCTTTCACTCCTATAACTGCAGCATTTGGGAGGCTGAAGCAGGAGGATTGCTGTGAGTTTAAGGCCAGCCTAGCTACATAGCAAAACCCTGTCTCAAAAGAAAAAGATGTCTGGACGTTGGTGGCATGCCTTTAATCCTGATACTCAGGAGGCAGAGGCAGGCGGGTCTCCGTGAGTTCGAGACCAGCCTGAACCACAGAGCAAGTTCCAGGACAGGCTCCAAAGCTACAGAGGAACCCTGTCTTAAAAAATGAGGGGTGGGGGGGAAGAAGAAAGGAAAAAAAATGAATGAACAGGATCTGGTGGTGTAGCTCAGTAGAGAGAGAGAGAGAGAGAAAGAGAGAGAGAGAGAGAGAAAGAGAGAGAGAGAGAGATGCTGGTAAATAAATAAATAACCCTCTGAGCTAAACTATTGCCCAGTGCCTCTGACCTGGCACTGTCAGGACAACTGCTTACTCATCTTTTAGCTACTTTAGCATCAGAGTTGACACCCCCCCACACACACACACACCCTGTTACCTGCTTATCCTAGGTCCGTCTTTTAGATAGTTGGGGAATTGGGAAACCTGGTTATTTTGCATGCCCAAGTGCAGTGTGTAGCGGGATGATGTCCTCATGTGGAGCTGGTTCTGTGGTTAGGAAGCTGCTTGCAGACAAAGGGGATGCTGTGCTGTATTCAGCCTTCTGCAGTCAGCCTGTGTGTCCTGCACCCCCACGCCCGCCTCCCTGGATGGACCCTGCCGTGTGCTGGCTGGCTCTTCACCCATTAGCATTGTGCAGTGAAGTAATGACTTCCCCAGGGCTGTCCACACTCCTCAAGCAGCCATCTCCAAAGTGAGCTGGGGTGACGGGGCTGGACCTTCCCCTCCAAGATCTCCACAGCTCCCCATGCCCCAAGTGTTTGCCCCAGACTGGTCTGCCATCAACCAGGTCCCTTCAGACGTTTTAGGACTGTACCCATGATCTCCCTTCTCTGTGACTCAAACCTCTGGGACACCAGAGAGGGAGGATGCACCAGAACAAACCAGAAAGGCAGCTCTGCAGCAAGAGCTGCCTGGTTGCTGCTTGAGTGCCCTGTGCCCTGCGTGGACCAGACATGGTGGCGCACATCTTTGATCCCAGCACTCCACACACAGAGGCAGGCTGCCGTCTGATTCTTTACCTGTACACCCCTTGTGGTCGTCTCCTTTCTCTCTTCTCCGTTTAGTGGCTCGAATGTTTCCTTCCCAGGCAGCATCCATTGTGGCACCCGGAGCATCTGAGGGGGAGACAGAATCGGGGTGCCCTGCAGAGTGTGGCTCTGGCTAATGTCATTGCCCTTCCTGAGACGAGGTCACTAAGCTAAAACCTGTGCAGTGCACCTCAGTGAGTGCTGACCCAGTGTCTCTACCGAGCCCTGCGCTGCACTTTTCAGCCTCGAGAGTGTGTGGAAACTCACCGAACGTGTGTAAAGTGCCCTCAGGACCGTGCTGTGCTCTGGGCCATGCCTCCCTCTAACAGCCTTGGAACAGGGCTTGCAGTGGCTATGAGAGGTCATAGAATGGTCCAGGACCATGTCTGCTCTCCCTGTTACCAAAAGTGTTACCTATTGATGGATGTAGCAGCCATGCATGAAGCGGTGCTTAAAGGTGCCAGCGGCCTTTCTCCAAGATGACTCAATAAGCGCACTTCGAGGATGTCACCACAGTTCCCTCAGAAGTGCCGGGCTTGCCACAAACTTTAGTTTTCAGATTTGGGGTTTTGTTTGATTGGTTGGTTGGTTGGTTGGTTTTTGTTTTTTCTTTTCCTGTTTCTTAGTCAAGAACTTACTCTGTATTCTAGGCTGTATCCCAGCAGCCCCCTGCCTCAGCCTCCCAAGAACAGATGTGAGCCCTTAGCACAATGCCAGGCTGTAGTGACTATTAAAAACATTACCAAGTAATTGCAAAAAAAAAAAAAAAAAATGCAGGTTTTTCCAAACATTTATGCCCAGTATTTCCCGAAAGTTCTTTTGGAGGAGGCACAGAATGAGCCTAAGATGTCCATGTTGGGTGAGAACATGACAACACTGTCTCCCTAACTCGGCATCCCTAGAATCAGAGGCCACCGTTTCCTGCAAGGCAGCAGGAAACCGTCCACCCCTGCCCACTTCTTCCCCAAGCAACACCCACACTGCCCAGTGATCCTACCTTTCAGTTGGTTCAGGGTCACCCAGTAGTGCTGCTCTGGGCTGTGGATGTCTTTGGACCACTGCAGCATGTCTTTTGCACGGGGGTCAGTCAGGATGAACCCTACAAACTTTCTTGTAAGTGCGTAATAAGAGCTTCCGGAGTAAACCGTCAGGTTGTGGGGTGGTTTTTGTTTGAACCTTGTATTTGGAGATGTGTAGGTATTTTCTTTGGGGCTGGGCTCAGGGGGCCTTTGGCCTGTCTTGGGTTTGGTGTTTGGGGATGGGATTACCCCAGGAGTGATGTTTTTACCCTTCCACTTGGTTCTGATGTAGTGGATGATTTCTCTGTTGGTTTTGATTGGGAATTCCTGTCCGCAGAGATTCATGACGTAGCGCCACTCAAGTGTGGAGTGGACGAGGTCTCTCATGCAGTTAATCTCTGCCTGCAGCCTCTTAGGGCTGTCATGAACCGCCTCCTGTGTCTTTGATGAAATAAAGACGTTTTCAAAACAGTTGGCGAAGGTTTGCATGGCACCCTTAATTGTCTTTGGGGCCGTTTCATCAATGTGGACACAGTAGACATTCTGAGGTGCGTAAATTGCTCTGAGAAGCCTCACAAACATAGCCAGCTCTTTATGAACGCTTATAACATATGCCAAAGGGAAGTTACCCTCTTCTGCAGATAAGGGTCTAGTTATGAAATGCAGCCCCCGGGTCATCCTGGAACAGTTTCTGGGTGTGTGCAAATGAGCCAGTATTTCAGAATTGTGAGGGTGTTTGCAGAATTGAGCGATTTGGGGGGCTGCCTTTTTCCCTTCAAATAAAGCTGAGCACAATTCATCTGGATAGAAGCCACATTCTACCACGGCCAGGTGGGTGGGCTCCTCCTCAGCCTCCTCGGGACCTGGCTTCTGTAAGTAAAGAAAGATGGAGGCGCAGATCACTCCACATGCCACAAGCCCCGCCTTTGTGGTCCGAAGCTGACTCATCTTTCAGCTCTCAGTGCCTTCTCACCACCATAGCTTGAAATGGTTCCTTTGTTCCCTAAAAGAACAGCAGAGGACATTTAGAGAGTTGGGTCTCACACACACACACATACACCGCCCACACACACACCTCCTCAAGTGTGTTAACCATATGTTCTAAAGTATGCCGTGCAGGGCTGTGAATGCAGCTCAGTTGGTAGACTGTCTGCCTGGCGTGCACTCCATCCCCTGCACTGCATGAACCAGGTGTGGTGTTGCATGGTCTGCATTGGGAGCGGAGGCAGGAGGACCAGAGTTCTGGGTCATCTTTGGCTACACCAAGTTCAGATGATCAGCGGATGGCTAGATAGGTCGATGGGCAGATGGCAATGCCGTTTGATTAGATCCTTGTTTATTGGCTTCTTTCTTTCAGTCTTCTGTAGAGGAGTTTGTTATGTTGTCCAAGCTGACCTTGAACTTATGGATTAAGCAGTCCCCTACCTGCAGGAACATGCAGCACACTTGGGTGTGATCTGACTGTGTTCATGGGTGTGTTCTCTGAAACTATGATCACGTCAGGGCACCTCTCGCCCCTGAGTTTCCTCATGCCCCCGGAAACCCATCTGTCTTTCTGCCCTTGCAACAGCCGTTTCTGCGTTTCTGTGACCTTGCTTCTGTAGTGTGGTGTAAGTGATTCTTGGTAAGGGGTGGCTTTTCCTAGTTAGGAAATGGTTCTGAGAGTCAGCCTCCTTGTGGCAGCCTTCGTTAATTCTTTTCCATTGCAGAGTGGTACTCCCATCTTGCGGTTCTGCACAATTTATTTGTTCAGCTGTTAATGGACTCTTAGGGTTTTCAACTTCTCATTTTCACAGAGGTGCCGTCAGCATTGTGCACAAGTCTCTGTGTGGACAGACATTTTCGTGTGTCGAGTGAATGTGGAGTGAAATGGCTGTCTCATATTGAGCTTTGCCAGGCCAGTGCAAAGCAGGTAGGAGAGTTCCCTACCCTGCACATTGCCAGCACTCCGTTTCCATGGTAACCATCCTAATTGGCTTGCAAGGGGCAATTCCCCCTGGTCTCACTGTGTGTCCCTGATGACTGTCACTGCTGAGCACACACTCAGGAGTGTCCTCCTGTATTTACGCCTTTCCCTGTTCTCGAATCTGAATCTTTCCATAAAGGATTTGAATGGCAACTTGGGAGAGTTTGTGCTTACCAAGTTTTAAGCCTGTTGAAACGAGCTGATGAATTGTTTCAAGGGATTAAAATCAAGGTGGGTAATGGTATCTCTGGATGTCAGCGCGGTGAGCTGTCTAGAACCACAGTAGGTGCTTGAGCAGCCGCAGCTAGTGGTGCTGAGGGCGAGCGCACTGACGGAGGACCGCTGCACGCTGTGTTTGTCCTGCGCGCGGAGAGCCAAGCTGCCCAGGCCACCTGTCAGGGGGTCTTGCTGTTTGTGAATCTGGCTCATGAGTGCCACAGAGGTCATGCTGGCACGGCGAGTGGACTTACACAGCAGCTCTTTTCTGTGACTGTGACTCGGGCAGACAGGGCATTGTTGCGCTGCTCACGGGCTCTCAAGTGTCTCAGCCTTGCGAGTGGTTTAGATAAATGCCACATTGATTGTCATTGTTGTTTCTTACCGCCTGACATGCTTTGAAACACAGAGCAGCTGCTGCCCTGGGAGCTGGGTCGCAGGTTCAGTCAACATCTCTTGATTGCCACAAGCCTCAAACCTTGAGGTGTCCTTAGCAAGGGTTTATAAAGCACACACTTCATATGCATGGCACTCTAGTGACTCATCACATCTGGTCCCCAAAATAAGCAGCCCCGCCCGCAGCATAGAAATCCACCAGGAAGGAGGTCCTTGCTAAAGGAGACACAGGGCAAGCCTCCCACAACACTCGGACTCTGTTTTGTCATATTAAACTTCCACTTACCTTTCAGTTTGGTTTGCTTTTTCGGGATATAATCTCACCATGTGGCTCTGGCTGTCCTGGAACTCACTGTGTAGACCAGTGCCTGGAACTCAAGGAGAGCTATGCTGGGATAAGGGCATGTGTCGCCACACCCACCTAAAGCTTGGGAATTTTGAACACCACGGCGTGGTGAGCCCCTCCTGGTGTGGTAGCTTTTGCCAGGAGGAAGGCTGGGATGGCTTGTTTGTCTGCACCGCATTGGCAGTCATGCCCCCAAACGCCTCATGCTGTAGCCAAGCCCCAGGGGCTCCAGTCTGGGCCATGTATATAACTAAATGAAGACAGGCCCGGGATGGCCCAGGGTCCTTCAGTGTACTCCCTGGCCTACGTGGTTTTTTGCCTTTCACAGATGAAGGAGAGCAGGATGGGGTTTTTGGTTTTTTACCTCCTTCCCCCTTGTCCTCAGCCCGGCTGACACTGGGGTGTGACTGTGTCTTTGTTCAGATGCCACTGCCAGCCCAGCCAGCCACCATTGCAGCACGAGCCTGTCCACTGCTGTGTCTAGTAGTTTGCACCCTGCTCTCGGTCAGCAGTAGTCACGGTTTTCTCAGGCTGGGCTTTTGAAGCCCAGCTCACTCTTCTATGTCTTACATGAGAGCCTGGTGCTCAGCCTGAAGGCTGAGGGCGCACTGGGGAGTCACAAGACCTCCTGAGCCTCCCTTCTCTGAGGGCTGGGGTGCTTGCCAGCCTGGTACTTGGTTGGGCCCAGACCCGTGTGACAGAGTTCCCTCAGAGCTACTTTCTGTGCATGGTGACTCCAGTCCCTGTGGCCAGAGCAGGACAGGTTCTCTTGTATCTCCTTTGTCGTCCCTGGGCTCAGGACGGGTCCACAGCACCCTGAACTTCAGTTTTTATAAGCAGCTGGTGACATTATTCTGGCTGATTTGAACCCACAGGCTATCCAACTGTCCAGTAAGATGGGTGCCTGGTTCACAGTGCGCTGGCTCAGCCACGTCTCCAGAGCTGTGTTCCTATGGGGTGTCCGCTCAGAACCAGCCCAGCTCCCTGTCCCTTTTCAGTGCTGCCCCAGTAAGAAACTGAGGCTTTGGCCGTGGCGTCCAGGCCGACTTCACTAAGTCAGGGTTAATACATGGTGGCGTCTTAACACCTGTGAAATGTCATCTGTCGCTTGCTGTGGAAATAGAGCGTGTGGTTTTTCTCTGGCTCACAGCCAGAGACCTGGGGCTGCTTTTGAGGGGAAGTGATGCCCACCTGTCGTCCATTACTGATAGTGTGTTCACAGCCACAGGCAGCTGAGAAGGCCCTGTGCCCTTCAGAACTCACCCCTGCCTGCCCCGCTGTCCACGTCCCCTCCCCACACCGTCAGTGACACACTCACCGGGTGCAGAACCTGGGCAGGTGCTGGCCCAGCCGCCTCTGCTCCGACCTACTCCCGTGGCTGTGGCTCCTGCTTCTCAGAGCTGCCTGGCAGGCTGGGTTGCCTTTGTATCCCCGGGGACTCGTATTCTTGTTGATTCTGACACGCTGGTAGAAAAGCTAGCTGCCGCATCTGATCCCTGAGAATTATCCAGGGTTGCACACCTGCCAGGGAAAGGGATGGGGGGGCTATGCACAAAAGCAATACGAGGCCCTGGCAGAGCCACAGCCAGACGAGGAGAGCGCAGCCTGCGCTCCCTCTCTCTGAGGACCCCACTCTGTTGGGAGAGATCGTTCAACCCTCAGACTGAAAACTTCTAGCTGGGCTGATGTTTTGTAAGATCGGGGACACAATCCTAAAATGCTCTTCAAGGCCAGGCATCATAGCACACGCTTTAATCCCAGCATTCTGCACTTGGGAGACGGAGGCAGGCGGATCTCTGAGTTCCCAGTTAGCCTAGTCTTATAGTGAGACCCTATCTCAAAAACAAAACAACAAAATATTCTCTTTAAAACAGGGGGCTAATTTCTTCTGACCCTTGCCTGTCTTTTGGTTTACTATGGATAGGCCTAACTTTTCACGTACATTTGTTATCATTTATTACTGTGGATGTGTGTGGGTGCACACACAGCCACTGAGCATGAGTGGAGGTCAGAGGACAACACCGTGTGGGTTCCAGGGATTGTGCTCAAGCCTTGAGGCCTGGCAGCACGTGCCCTTCCCTACTGAGCCATCTCACTGCCTGACATCTGGATTCAGGACAGCCCTGAAAGGGATGGGGTCGTCACCGCATGCACACCCGGCTGTGGCTCAGTGAGTGGTCATCTGGCCTGCATCAGGTGTGGGGTTGCACCCAGCCTCACAGCAGAACACTGAAGGGAGAAATGCAACACGGGAGATTTGTCCCTCCTGTGTTTGCAGATTCCAAAGCAGATGGCAGGGTGAGTGGCGGAGCGACCCTGAGGCACTGGAGTGTGTTTGTGTCACAGCCACCGTAGAAAGAGGTCTTGGTAGGGCAGCTAGCAGAGTCTCTGTGAACTCGAAGCTGTTAAGGAGGGAGAGCAAGGACAGCTTGTGCCTGTGGAGGCCTCGGGTTCCATCATCGAGGCTATGGGTCATACAGCAAGAATCTTGAAAGAACAGCCAGACATGGTGCATACGACTTAACGGCGGAGGCTAGCCTGGGCTACAAGTGAGACCTTGTCTCAAGGTTTAAGGAGATCTCAGCCTCCTGAGTGTACCAGGGTTATACACAAGTACTGCCGTGCCTCTGGAGACTTCGTTTGTGATGATCTGGGTTCCTAAGAGGTTGCATAAGTAATCGAGAGTGGTGGTGTTGCCTTTACCTTCCTTCTCCACATTTCTCTTTAAATTGGGCTCTTGGTTCATTTGTTACTGATCTTCCAAGTTTGTTTAAGTACATTTGAAATTAAAGGTGAGCAAAAACATCCTTGCTTTCTCCTTTTACTCAGGTTGTAGAGCAGCTGCTGCAGTTGTAATAGGAAGCGGATTCTGTTGCTCACTTGGTTTGACTCGGGGCTTGACTTTGTAGAGCTTGAGAATGTGCCTCGCTGTAAATGAAGGGTAGATCTGTACTCACAAAAGAAAAAGATTTAAGGAGATCTGAGCACGGTAGTTCTCGAGAGCCTTATCATTCCAGCACTGGGAAGGCTGAGGCAGGGGAATTGCTATGAGTTCTGGGCCAGCTTAAATTATGTAGTTCTCATCTAACCTGGGCTATAGTGAGGACCTGCCTTAGGATGAAAGGAAAGGAGGGAAAAAAAGGTGTTAATGACAAAATGTAGACCAGTCCCCACGAGCCACCCCTGCCTCTGCATCAGCCATGTCCCCTTCCCGCAAAGGGTGTCTGTCCCTAGCTCGCCCCCCATGGGGAAGTGCTGACTGCTGCCATGGCTGGCTGCTTCCTCGGTCTGTCTGTCTTGCCCCTTAGGATGAATTGCTCTCCCACATCAGAAGGTCAGGTGTAAGGATGTCCTCCCAAGACCAGACTTGTCATGTGGTCATGTGGCCTGGAGGAGACCTATGCATCTTTTTTGTTTTGTTTTCCGAGACAGGGTTTCTCTGTATTGTTTTGGAAACCGTCCTGTCCTAGAACTCTCTCTGTAGACCAGGCTGGCCTGGAACTCACAGAGATCTGCCTGCCTCTGCCTCCTGAGTGCTAGGATTAAAGGCATGTGCCACCAACGAAGCCCAGCTGAGATCTATGCATCTTGAGGGACAGTCGTACTTAATTTAGGTTCAAGCAGCTGATGTCACTGAGTGTTAGTAATCTTTTGACCTTTTCTGAGGGAGAGGGTACTTCATTTTGTTGGTTTTGCTCTTGAGGCAGGTTTTGCTGAGTCTGCATTGGCCAGAAACTCTCTCGGTGGCCCATACTGGCCATGAACTCAAAGTTCTTCTGCATCCATCTCCTTAGCGATGTGATTATAGATAGAGCATTTTCTACAAAAAAAAAAAAAAAGTTTATTACTTATGCATGTGTGAGCCTGCATGAGTTTACGTGCACCACTTGTATGCAGGCCTATGAGGTCACAAGAGAGTGCCAGGTCCCCTGGAATTGGAGTTACAGGTGATGAGCCACCATGTGGGTGCTGGGAACTGAACCTGGGTCTTTAGCAGGAACAGTGAACATCCTAAACCGCGGGACCATTTCTCCACCCCACACTCCTAGTAGTCGGTGACTTATTTAGCTGCTGAAGTACACCAGTGCTGGGCATTCGTGTGTTCAGGGTCAGGCCAAGCCCATGATTCTACAAAAGAATTGCTGCCAGCACCTTAGAGGAATGAGCAGAGGTGCAGGGAAGGTCTCCATGAACTCCCTGGAGGAAAGCCACAAATTCGGGGCCAAGCCTGGTCTACACAGAGAGTTCAGGGCTAGCCAGAGCGACTTAGTGAGAACGCTTCAAGGAAGAAAAACTACACAGGTTTTAAGGCTCAGCCTTACAGTTCTGGGCTTTTTCTCTGCACCCTTCACACCCCCCCCCCCCCCGTTGGTTCTGGGATCCGCTGGCGGGATGCTAAGCCACCTGTGCTGACTGGGTTATGTCACCTTGACACAAGCCTAGACTCACCCCAGAGGAGGATAGCTCACTTGAGATGTCTCTGTCAGACTGGCCCCAGTTCACTGGGGTCGCATGCCCTCTGGGCAGGTGGTCCCAATGGTGGGAAAAAGTGGGTGAGCATCACTTCCTATCTGCTGATCATGGCCTAACTTCCCTCAGGTGAGGTGGGGCCTGAGGGGAAGTTAACCCTTTGCTCACAGGTTGCTTTCGGACATGCTGTTTTTCCCTGCAGTAGAAACCCTACCCTACCCTATGGCATGGCATTCTTTCACTGCACAACCCATCCTCACAAAATTCAAGTTCAGTCTTTTTTTTACTGGAAAAGGTTTTGTGTCAGGCTTGTCAATTATAAAACACATTGGCGGCCTCTCCTCTGGTGTTGAAAACAAAAAACGAGAAGCAGGGAAGTCGTGTGCCTCTGGGAAGAAATTGCAGCTGAAATCCCGGCAGGGAGGCGTGGTCCTGCTCTAAGCCAGCCTCCTCCAGCACTCTGCACTGTCCTCAGGGGGGTTATTTACGCAGAGTACCTCCTTGCCCCTTGGGCTTCCTTCCCACCTCACTCAGTTCTGAAAGATCCCCTCTCCAAGGAAAGGTCCTCCCGCCCCCCCCCCCCATGGAGAGAGTCTCCACCCAAGTGTCCCCTGGTCCAAGACTTCCCATAGGACCACTTGCCCAGAGGCTGTTCCTGCCCAGCTCCCTGCCTGTCGAGGTGGCTGAGAACAGCCCTCTTGACTAGGTCGTTCCTCTGGAGGGCGCCAAGCTCAGGGCTCTGTGAGTCAAAGCAAAATGTCTTCAATCTGCCCGTCCTCAGGGAGACCCTGTGAACCCACAGACCCTGGCCTGAAAGGTGGATTTGGAGTGAGGTGCTCCTCAGCCCTGGCGGGGTGCAGGAGCCTGAGGCTGGCACATTCACCTCTCCTGTGTGCCGGGAGGTGACGGAGACCTTGGGCGGTGTCAAAGGACAGGACCCTGTTTACTAGCTTTATTACAGAAGATGGCAGTGACATCTCTTCCCAGAAGTGACAGCCAGAATGCCCCTAGACTGTGGTGACCCTGGGGAACAGAGCAGCCACCCGAGGGTCTCTGCCCTGGGCTTAGACGTCCTCTTCCCCTAAGGAGGCCCGAGGGACCAGGAGACAGAGGAGCCTTACTCTCTGATGCCACGTATTCCGTGCTAGAACCTCACTCAACCTCACTCACAGGAGACTTACTGGAGTGGCGACTGCCAGCCTCTCTGAGGAGGTCGCGTGCTCGGTTACAGCTCTATGAATATGGACATGTGTGTGGTCACGTGCTTGGTTACAGCTCTGTGAATGTGGACATGTGTGTGGTCGCGTGCTCGGTTACAGCTCTGTGAATGTGGACATGTGTGTGGTCGCGTGCTTGGTTACAGCTCTGTGAATATGGACATGTGTGTGGCCGCGTGCTCGGTTACAGCTCTGTGAATGTGGACATGTGTGTGGTCGCGTGCTTGGTTACAGCTCTGTGAATATGGACAGGTGTGTAACTGGCAGAGCTGAAGTGGACACTTAACAAGTGCCTGTCCCTGCCCAGGGCACCTTTGGGATACTTGGACACGGCTCTATCTTGTTTAGCCAAGATGTGTCTAGAGTCAACCCTTATACTTGTAATTTAGTGGAAGACTGTGGAAGTTAGCCGTGGCGTGCTGTTGGTAGACAGCATTGTGGTGGGGGGGGTGAGTGGGCTCACACAGTGACCGCCGCCGCCAGCAACACAGAGCAACAACCGCAAGTGGTCCCACGCTCAGGGTCTTTGCTCAGACTGTTACGGTGTGTAGAGTCTGGTACCGTGAGGATACCATGAGCCACCCTATCGGTGACCTATGTTGAAACCCTCCAGAGTGAGGTAGCTGGACATGCTGCTCTGGGCACATGGATCTCCCAGGCCAGGCCTGAGAGCGCCTGATCTGAGATGCTGGTGGAGATGCTGCAGGAGCCTAGCAAGGGCTGAAGGCCAGCAGAGTCCCCGATACCTCCCCTCCTGTGGTAACTGACCTCCCTTTTTGCCCTCCAGTGTGGGACTCCCTTCCAGGAGGACGACATCATCGTGCTCAATGGCACCAAAGAGGATGTGGAGTTGCTGAAGAGGAGGATGGAAGAGAGGCGGCTTCGGGCCAAGCTGGAGAAGGTAATGGGGAGTGAGGGGGAGGGGACCTCACTTCTGCAGATGCTAGTGATAGGTTTTGTCAGCCTTGGAGACCTGGCCTCTAGAAACAGATTCAGGGTTTGGCTCCATTGGTCTTGCTGGGGAGTGTGTCGTACCGTGTCTCTCCCCCCCCCCCCCCATACTTCCATCCCCGGAGACAGGGCTTCTCTGTAGCTTTGGAGCCTGTCCTGGAACTTGCTCTCTAAATCAGGCTGACCTCCAAATCTCAGATTCCCCCTTTCTCTGCCTCCCAAGTGCTGGGATTAAAGGCACTACTGCCACCTGGTGGGAAGACTTTTAAATGACACCTGCCTGTCAAGCACGTGCAGAGTGTGGTATTAGTGAGCCCTTGGGAAAAGGCAGCCACTGATTTTAAAAGAGCACTTGTGGACTGGCTGCGGGTGTGGCTCAGTAGTAGAGCCTGAAGCCCTAGATTCCGTCCCTAGTACAGAGAAAGAAATAGGATTCATGCTCTCTCTGTCATCCGAGCAAATCTGAAGGTCCAACAGGCTTGGAGGAGGAGGTGCTGAGTTTTTTTTAAGTTGTCATACAAAGCAATGGAATTCATTGGGGCTTTTTTTTTTTTTTTTTTTTTTTTTAATAGAAAGGTTAGGCTCAAGGAAAACGTGGACCTAGTCATTGTTTCTACTAAAGTGGAGATCCAGATGTGACACACCTGTAATCCTGTCCTCCTAGGTAGAGTCAGGAGAGAGTTGAGGCCAGTTTGGAGACCCAAGGCCAGGGTGTGGCTGGGGGTAGAACACCTGCCTGGCATGCACAGTCCTGGGTTTGACCCCAGCACTGAAAGGAAGCAAAAGCCTCAAGGGCCAGTGCTGCAAGTATTGCAACTGTAGGAGTGGGCAGAGCGAGGGCATGCAGGCAGGAAAACAGCTAGAGCTGCCAGTGTCGCCCTGGGGTAGGCTGCAATGACGGAAGGGTTCAGAGCTTTGCTTGGGTATTTTAATCATAGAAGAGACGGGCCACATGACCTGTGCGTGATCATACTTCATGGTTGTGAGGAACAGAGTCTCACCACCTGTGAGCGATCTTGCTTCTCAGTTGTGAGGCTTAGAAGGAGCAGAATCACATGACCTATGAGTGATTGTACTTCACCGATGGTCAAACATGAGACCCAGACTGGGGAGAAGCCAAATCCACTCTGGGTGTAGTGTTCCGTAACACTGGGAATTGTGGGCAACTCTGAATTAGATGCTACAGGAACACTGTGGAACTGTTTACAAGATGATAACAACATTCCTGAGAAATACTGAAGGTCACTGGGTCATTTACGCTGTGTGGAGGTTTAAAAAATCAAACGTTTGTGTGTGTGTCATGCATGTGTATGTATGTATGTATGTATGTATATATATGTGTGTGTAAATCCTAAATTACTAAATTTTTTAATTGAGTAAATTACTTTTTTCTAAATTACTCTATACTTACCATCATGAGAGCATAGAAAAGTTGGGGTGTCTTTAACAAGAGACAGCAGCCAAAGGGCACGCTTGTTCATCTTTGCTGTCCTTGGGCAGTTTTTGGGGGTTTGTTGTTACTGTTTTTGTGCAAAGAGGGACATTGTGTGCCAAAAGCAGCAGCTAGAGAGCTGCACGGGGCCCTGGTGTTCTCCCTGAGTGACCGGCTGTCTCATCACGGGCTTCCTGCCAAGCCTTGCAGAGCCCAGTGGGACTAGATTCCCCTCTGCAGCCTCCTCAGCAGAGGCCGTGAATGCGCTTAGATACTGCTACCAAGATACAAAATATTTCCCAAATATCCTTACCTGCAGACAGTGCTTAGCGCCTCTGCATGCCTCCAGCCTTGAAACTGCTCAGCTGCAATGGAGGGCTAAGAACTGAGCGCCTGCCTTTCTTTCCTGTGCTCGGGGCTTGTGGGCACTTGGTGTGAGCACACTGGGAAGCAGGAACACACTGTCTCCCTCCATCACCCTCTGCTGTGTTATCTCGAGACAGCGTGTCTCCCTAAGCCAGAAGACCACCATTTCTGCTTGACTGGTTGACTAGCAAGTTCTCAGGGTCCCAGTCTCTACCTGCCAGTGCTGGCTCACAGCCATGCACAGCCATGCCCAGCTTTCTGCAGCGGACACTCCTGCACTGAGACACCTCCTTGGTCCTGTCAGCCTTCACAGATTTGCATGTGTGCATTTCAAATGCACAGACATTTTCCAAATGTTTAAGTTACATTGAAAGCCACCACCAAGAGAGTGTCTGTCAGAGATGAGGGCCTTCCAAAGTCACTCTTGTTTCACTTTTAGAGACGGGGTCTCATGAAGCCCAGGCTGGCCTCCAACTTGCTCGTGTTGAATGCGTTTTTCTCGTTTCTCCCCCTCCCCACGCTGAGACAGCAGGTGTGCAGCTGTGTCTCTGGTGCCCCTTTTTGGGGGTTTATGCATTTGAAGAAAGTTGTGCAATTTAATGTAATTTCAGAATGGTCTGCCTCTTGGGGACTGACCAGTAACTGGCCTGGCACCTAAACCTCTAAGGAGAATGATGTAGTGTAAATCAGCCACCACTCCTCAGGTGTGCCCCTGAGCCTCATAAACAAATGTCACAGTTTGACAGCTTTGAGACTGAGTTCCCAGAGAGGATGAGATTCTGTGTTTGTGTATGTGGAGTTTGTTACTGTTTAACTGCTCTCTGTGTATGATGGTCACTGGAAGTTCTGACACACACACAGAGAGAGAGAGAGAGTCTGTGGTTGTGTATATGTGTGTGGGTGGTGTGAGTATGTGTGTGGTTTGTGTGTATGTGTGTCTGGTTGTGTATGTGTGTGGGAGTGTGGGTATGTGAGTGGGGATGAGTGGGGGGTGTATGTGGATATGTGTGTCGAGGTGTATGCGGGGGGGGGGGGGTGTAAGGAGTAAGGCTTTTCCTCCCACCGCCAGTTTGGTCCCGCCGGGCCAGCCCCAATTAACACACTGAGACTCTATATTTGATATAATGCTGTTGGCCAGGTACTAGTTTCTTATCGGCTAGCTCTGTCTTAATTATTAACCCATTTCTGCTAATCTATGTATTTCCACGTGGTCTCCTCTTACCCTCGGAGAGCCGGCTGACATCCAGCTCTCTCCACTCTCCATCTTTACCCCTCCTTACTACTTCCTCTCTCCTCCTTGTCTCCTAGTCCCTCCTATCTTCCTTTCCTATTGGCCAACAGTGCTTTATTCATTAACCAGTATGAGAAACATATATACAGAATGACATCTCCCATCAGGGGGGTGATATGTGTGGGTATGTGTGTATGTGTATGTGTGGCGTGTGTGGGTGTGTGTGGGGGGGTGATATGTGTGTCTGTGGGTATGTGGGGGGTATGGGGGTGTATGTGCTGTTGGGGACCAAACCCAGCCCTCATGGAGCTCTGTTGCCATTGAGCAGCACCCTAGCCTCTGACACTGACTCCTCACTGCAATTGTGGTCATTGAAAAGCTTTGAGAGTATAGCTAAAACTGATGAGCAGGTCTGTGTGGACTCCGCCTTCTGAGGGTCACAGCTGCTTGCCTGCAGGTCCTCCTCTCCGTCAGAGAGGACCCTGGGCCCTAGGCAGGTCCACTGCTGCTGTGGTTGGCATGTGAGAGGGTATGATGTGACCACACCCTCTGCATTAGTTACTTGTCTGTGACCAAAGGCATCTTACAGAAGGAAGAGTTTATTGTGCCTCACAGTTCCAGAGGGAGAGTCCCGTTGATGGAGTCCCTGTCCCACCGCCCTTTGGTCCCAAATAAACACACAGAGGCTTATATTATAAACTGCTTAGCTAATGGCCCAGGCGTCTTATTGGCTAGCTCTCATTTAGTTATTAATCCATTTCTATTAATCTGTGTTTCTCCACGTGGTCTTGGCTTACCAGAGAGTACCCAGGCGTCCTACCTTCCTGCATCTCTCTCGACTCATTCTGTGTCCTCTTCCCAGAATTCTCCTCGTCTGGTAGTCCCACCTATATGTCCTTTCTGACCACACCCTGCCTGTCCATTGGCCCAGACAGCTCTATTCACCAACCAGTAAGGGGCATATATTCACAGCACACAGGACATCCCCGTCAGAGTCCATCATGGCTGGCAGGCTTGAGCTGCAGGCATGTTGGCAGTGCAGGAGCTGAGGACTCACACCTCCATTCACACTCAGGAAGCAGAGTGAGCCAGGAGTGGGGTGGGTGTGGCTGTGCACCCTCAAAGCCCACCCCACTCACGGACCTCCACTTACTGAAGGTTCCATGAACCCCCCAAGCTGCGCCACCCAGTCTCATTGAGACCACCACACCACAGCCCTCAGCAACTTCTTTCTTCTTACAGAAAACAAAGAAACCGAAGACAGCCGAGTGTGTGTCAAAGGCAGGTGTCACAGACGGTAAGCTGCCAAGAGACGGGGGTGCAGGCTGTGTCCCAGTCACCAGGCCCTTGCCCTGCTTTGACTCAAGGTTTGTTTTGCTGACTCTGTCTTTGCAGACTCGGCAGGGCCATCGAAGGTGAAGGCTGGCAAGCCTGAAGATGCGGACCCCGATCCTAAAGAGAAGAAGAGCACCTTGGCTTCCAGGGCCACAGGTGGGTCTCACTGAGCCAGAAGCCAGAGCAAAGGGTTGAGAAAATGTAGCCTCACATGCCAGCCTGGAGCCCTGTCGACCCAAAAGATTCTAGACATAAATCCTGCTTCTGCCTTACTGCCGAGCAAGCTTGTGGTGCCAGAACACGGTGTGGAGAGCTTGGGCACCCAGAACCTTCCTATGCTCCCCACATTTCTAGACTCCGGGCATAGAAATGCCCCTTCTGTCTGCCTGCCTCTTGACCAAGTAGGAAAGCTGCTCTTGAAACTCAGTGTCTTTACCACAAAGAAAATAGCATTTACAACAGGGCAGAGGCAGAGGCAGGGCCAGCCTTGTACCAAGCCGGCCTGGGTCACATGATGAGGTCTAGGCCAGCCTGAGCTGTGTACTTACACTCCATCTCAGAGAGAAAAGCAGGGGCAGGAGAGCTGGCTTGGCGCTAAAGAGCCAGTGCTGTTCTTACAGATGACCCGAGTTCTGTTCCCATAACTGACAGCTGAAAGCTGCTCATGTATAACTCCATCTCCAGATCTGACACCCTCGTCTGGCCTCCACAAGTACATGTATATATATATACATGGCATGCATACACACACACACACACACACACACACACTCACACTCACACGCACGCACGCACGCACACACAGAAAGGAAAACCATAAGAGGAGAATGAATATTTATGCCATGTCTGTGGGCATTTCTTTCCCACTCACCTGCTCCCAAATACCCAGCCTGGAGACTTAATTGAAAATGCTTGGCCAATAGCTCAGGCTTGTTACCAGCTAACTCTTGCATTAATTTCTTATCCGTGCTTTGTCATGTGGCTCGGTACCTTTTCTCAGTATGCCGTGCCCATCTTGCTTCTCTCTGCATCTGCTGCTAACTCCAGCCTCTGCCCTCCTCCTTCCCAGCATTCCCTGTTTGGTTTTCCCACCTATCGTTCTGCTATTGGCCAGTCAGCTTCTTTTTTTTTTTTTTTTTTTTTTTTTTTGAGACAGGGTTTCTCTGTGGCTTTGGAGGCTGTCCTGGAACTTGCTTTTGTAGACCAGGCCGGTCTTGAACTCACAGAGATCCGCCTGCCTCTGCCTCCTGAGTGTTGGGATTAAAGGGTGCACCACCACCCAGCAAGATTCTTTATTGAACCTATCACAGCGACATATATTCACACAGTGTATAGGGTTCCACACGTCTGATGGCACAAGCCTGTCATTCCAGCTACTCAGGAGCTGAGGCAGGAAGATCAAAAGTTTGAGGCCAGCCTGAGAGCTTACTAAAATCCTGTGTCAAAATAAAACAGAAAGGGAGCTGGGGCTGGGGCTCAGTGGTAGAGAGTCGGGAGCTGGGCCTGTTTAGCATGTGTGAGGTCCTGGGGTCATTGCCCAGCACTGAAAGAAAAAAAGCAACAACTAAGATCACAGTTATTTTACAAGAATTAGACACAGCCTGGACTGCAGGAGACCCCCTCCCCCCCATGCTTCAGCGTTCCAAACAGCCGCAAAATGCTGGCAGCTGAAGGAAATGGCATGCATCTCTGAGTTCGAGGCCAGCCTGGTCTACAGCGTGAGTTCCAGGACAGCCAAGAACAAAAACTTTGACATTTGGAGTGATTTCACAGATTTCCTTTGTTTTCCAGCAGCTAGCGGAAGTGCTTCTGGGAAAGCTGGGAAGCCCCCGTGCGGGACCCTGAAGAGATCCATCGCCGACAGTGAAGAGTCTGAGACCTACAAGTCCATCTTTACCAGCCACAGCTCCGCCAAGCGCTCCAAGGAGGAGTCTGCCCACTGGGTCACCCACACGTCCTACTGCTTCTGAAGCAGGGTCACCGCCCTCCCCGCAGGGCGCCTCCCCTGTGGCCTTCTGTGCACGCTTGCCTGATGTGGCCCCATGCTATAAAGCTGTCCTCTGCAATCTTTGACCTGTGTGGTCGCTTGGTGTGAGGTGTGTGGGTCCAGGGAGGGTAGGTGGCTTGCAACGTAACCGGCAGCCTCTCCCACAGGCTGTACCTCTTGCCTAGCCTGGTGACTAGTGTTCACCCTGAGCTGAGGTAGCAGGACGACTCCGGGTTCTTCACTGCACTGTGACGGGTCAGGGAAGCAGGTGACACCGGGCTTGCTTAGGGACAGGCTCCCAGCTGTCGGCTTTTGCCCCTGGTGGGTACCGGTGATGGCATAAGGACATCAGAGTGGACTCAGAGTGAAACCCCTCTCTCTCATCTCTCTCTTCCTCTTACACCTTGGTAAGAAAACGGCAGCCTTCAAGGTGGCAGGGGCAGGCGGGAATGACACCTCCATCTTCACAATTATGATTGGAGCCTGCGTGAGACTGTCCCTAGGAGCAGAGTAGACCTGCTCCTGGGCTGGGCAGGTGGCTAGCTCAGTGGATAAAGCATACGCCATCACCATGCACACTTGCAGACCAGAATTTGGATCCCCAGAGCCTTAAGCTAGGCGAGCACAATGACCCTGACTGTGGCCCCAGCCCTTGTATGGCAGAGACGGGGTCCCCAGGCAAAGTGCTCAGGAGCTCAGGGTTCAGGGGAGAACCTGAGTCAGAAACTAGAATAGAGTACAACTAAGAAGATGCCCGGTGTCAACCTCAGGCCTCCACACATGCCTACAAGAGTGCAAACATACAGAAGTCCTAGAGTCCTTGCTCCCGATCCAGGCATGCTGGCATGTCTAATCGGAGCCCTCGGGCTGAGGCAGGAAGATCATGGACACGTCAAAGCTGGCCTAGGTTGCATAGCAAGACCTTGCCTTAGAAAACAACCCAGAGACAAGCACCTACCAGCTGCCCTCAGGTTCTCTGCTTGGCCCCAAGGATATCTGAGGCTTGTTCTGGGACAGTGTTGGGGGGCGTGTAGACATGGGCAAGGGAGACAAGCTGCGAGGTGAGTATTGTCCAAGAGAACCTGGGATGCATGGCCTTTGTACTTAGAAACTAAAGATTGTAGAACTATTTGGGAGCTTTTTGTGTTTGATTTTGAGACAGTTAGGCATGGCTGGCCTCACACTCAAGATCTTCCTGTGTCAACCTCCCAGTGCCGGGATTACAGAGTATATATGAGTTTTTCAGTGAGAACTACCCAGTTCTGAGTGTGCAGTTCATGAGGCAGAAGACCCACGCGCCATGCGCAAAGCCCTGGCTCCACCCCCAGCACAGTGTAATCTACATGCGACAGGCACCTTCTGTCCCAGCATTTGGGAGGTGGAGGCAGGTGGATAAGTTCAAGACTTCTGGGCAGTGATGCCTCCTGCCTTTAATCCCAGCATCCTGAAGGCAGAGGCAGAGGCAGACAGATCTCTGTAAGTTCAAGGCCAGCCTAGTCTACAGAATGAGTTTCAGGACAGCCAGGGCTACACAGAAACCCTGTCTGGGGGAGGGGGGTTCAAGACTCTCTTTGACTACCTAGCAAGTTTTAGGTAGCCTGGGATACATGAGACCGTGTCTTAAAAAAAAAAATAATAATAATGAATTTTATTGTGTACTTTTCCAAAACAAAGATGAATTAGCTATTTAGTACAATGAAAAACTATTTTAGAGGGTTTTTTTTTTTTTTTTTTTTTTTTTTTTTTCCTGTTAAACTTTTCCTAACGGGGCTGGAGAGATGGCTCAGAGGTTAAGAGCTATCTATGGCTGTTCTTCCAAAGGTCCTGAGTCCAATTCCCAGCAGCAACATGGTGGCTCACAACCATCCGTAATGAGATCTGGAGCTCTCTCTGGCATGCAGGCAGAACACTGTATATAATAAATAAATCTTTTTTTTAAAATTCTCGTAACAGTTACTTTATTTGGTTAGGATTTCTGTTTTTATCAGGTTTATTGAGGGCAAGAGGAAGGAAACTGTAAAACTCAAAGCTGATTTGTCATCAAGTTAACATCTTTTTTCTTTGTACCTTTACGAAGAAAAGAGTCCTCTTAAGCCGTAGTTTACTAATTACAGCCTTTAGAATTTTTGATGACTGTTTTTAAAACCACTTCCACATTTCTCAGCCTTGAAACTTCAGTGTCTTCAGGCCCCCAGCCTCAGAAATGTCCACAGATTTCTGCCTGGGCGCTGTGGCTCCTCCCTCGCCCTGTCCCTGAGGGGACCCTGATAACAGAACCGTGTGTGTTGTGAGATCCTTCTCCAGCCTGGAGGGTTAGCACAGGACCAGCTTGTCCAGCTTCCCTGGGTGTCTGTGAGAAACCCTGCTGCACCAGACTGAGGTCAGTCCCTTTCTAGGACTCTGGGGCTCAGCTACACCCACCACCTAGGTCCAAGACCCTCACAACCCTCGCTGTGTGACTGCCTTCCCTGGGTCTATTCAGTGAACACACTTGGGGGAATGGATTCTACCCTCAGTTACATGTTTCCAGATAGCTGAAGTGTGCCAGGCGTGGTGGAGTCGTCCGTGCTTATCAACCTATCTCCCCATATGGTGTCAGCTACCAAATGCCAGAGCTGACTCTGAAACCACACTCTGCAGATGAGGGTGCCCCACCCCGGGAATTTTCAAGATCTTACTCAAGAGTGAACCTCCAAACAGGCTGCATGGAACCCCTGGCCCACGGCCAGGAACGCGGGGCCATCTGCTTCTGGAGGCTTTTGTAGATAGCTATAAGGGTAGGAAGCTTCATGTAACTTGAAGCTGGGTTTCTAACACAGCTGTCTGTATGGCCTGCATCTCTCCAAACCTGAACCAGTGTCTTGCTAGGAGTCCCACAGAAGCTGACGCTGTGCCCTGGGGGATGTCCGTGTGGCTCACTTAGCCACTGGCCCCGAGAGATGAGTCTATGGAACCTGTGTCACTGTCAGAGTGCAACACAGTTGAAAGCAGCATGAGAGAGTCCTCAGAAAGACAACCCTCGGTTGGTCTGAGCATGACCCCTCCTGGTGACTTAGGAGGGACAAGTGTGGGCCTTGTGCTGCACGGGCTAATATACCCTGCTTCTTATCGCCTCTACAAACTGTTGCCGTCAAGTACTGTGTGCGTGTGTGCCACTCTGTGCGTGTGCGCGCGCGCGTGCGTGCGTGTGAGTGCGTGCGTGTGTGTGTGTGTGTGTGCGCGCGCGTGCGCCTGTGTGTGCATGGGTGTACACTCTGGGCCACACAGGTAGATATGGAAGCATGTGGAGACCAGAGGTCAGCCTTGGGTCTTGTATCCTCTCTCAGTGGCCCAGAACTCTGCAAGTACTTAGGCTGGGTGGCCAGCAAACCAAGCTTGGCCTGCCCCTGCCTCCCCAGCCCTGCAGTTGTAAGTGCACACAACCACACCTGTTGCTACCCTGGCTCCGCTCTCCTCAGTGGTTTCTCCTCAGCACCTGCCTGTCAGTCCACCAGCCCTGTCCCAGGCCTTCTCCTCAGGGAACCTCTCTAACCCTCAGGCTCTCTCCCCGCCCTGGATTGCTCTTCCCCTGGACCTTCCCTCGCCCTGGGATCTTTGACAAGTGATCGCTCCTCACTGACAGCTCAAAGGCTGTCAAAGGTTGCATGGCTGCGTTGTGCATGTGTTAGGTGGCTGCATAAGGGCTCTGCATGTAGAAACCACGCAGAGCTGGGGCAACTGCAACTCCATGACTCCAGTTTCAATGGCCCCAACTGCTGAGCCTCCTTCTAAACAGCTCCCTTTCCCTTTATAAGCAAGCACCTCCTGCCTGTTCCCTTTCTCCATCTCTGCCCCCGATCGGTTAACATCTACCCCTCCTCTCCCTTCCCCATAAATTCCATGTGGGTTTGTTGAATTTGGTGGACCATGTTTCATCGTCTGAAGCTGCAGCAAAGAATACCACCCAGCTTTTTATTCGTTTCCTGGGTGCTAAAATCAGGCCATTATGCTTGCAAACACTGTATCTGCTGAGCCATCACCCCAGCCCCTAGGTGACAGTCCCCATAATGCTGATGAGTCTCTATTTTCGGTGCAGGCCGAAGGAAAGATCCACGGCCCCTAGCCAGCAGCCCGACTAGTAACCTTATTTCTCACTGGACGCAGCTCCACGGGGCACATTGTACCTGCTGCTCAGTGCGATAAAACCAGAAATAGACGATGGCCTTTCCCAACAGTGTGCCAAGCTCAGGAAGAACATTCCGGCAAGGAGACAGCTTCCTCCCCTCTTGTCTTCTAGAAGTTTCTCCGCCCTGGAAGTTCTGCCAGGCGGGCTCCTTGCCGTGAACCTCAGGCTTCTCAAGCTAAAGGCATCACAATGGCTGAGGCTGCCAGCTCAGGGCCCTCTGTGACATCACCAGGCCCCGACACTAGGTCCCCAGTGTCCCTGGCCCCGCGGCAGACAGCCCCACCATGAGCAGTTTCCCGCTCCACCTCTGCTCACCATGCGGACGCTAAGATGGTTCCTGTTCCTGCCTCTGTGCATCTCCTGTGCCTGTGCGTTCATGTTTTCTTCCTTGAGGGAGAAAAACAAAGAAAGCCCAGGGAAGGTGCCTTGTGGAGGACATTTCCGGATTAGACAGAATCTTCCAGAGCACACCCAAGGCTGGCTTGGGAGCAAATGGCTCTGGCTGTTTTTCGTCATTATGTTATATGTGATGCTGAAGTTTCGAGGAGAGGGTGAGAAGAATAAGGTAAGAGGGCCGTACTCACACACAGCCACTGGCCTCAGGGACGCGGGTTCTGTTCCTAGAGGCAGGACTATTGGTCCTGACCAGAAACCCCATCAGGCTCCGGGAGAAGGCGAGGTGGATTTGCTTCCTCGGTGGTGATGGTAGTGGTCACATCCATAGAGGATGGGACAGTTTGAGATAGGCTACTACACAGCTCACAGTTTTTCTGCGAAGTAAGTTTTGTTTGTTATTCCAAATTGAGAGTAGATTCAAGAGCTCATGATGTATTTAAGAGCCAGGCATGTGCGCGCTCACGCGCGTGCGCTCACACACACATACATACACACACACACACACACACACACACACACACATTTTATTTTCTTTGCTTTTGACTCATCACA